TATACTTTATAGACAATTTTATCAGAATTTCCATTGAAAAACTTGTACACGTTTTAAATGACATTAATTAATACATACAATATTATAAAAAATTATTGAAGATAATTATGATGATGTAGGAAAAATATTACCGATTCTAATGATGATAATGATGATTTAGAAAAAAAGTATTTTACTGAACTAGATAATATATGATATATATATATATATATACTTCTCTATCTCTCTCTCTCTTTCTCTTACTCGATCAAATTCTTTTCTAAGATGATTCGAAGACAGAGAGGAGGAATCCCGTAATACGAGGCCGTGGGGCAGAACAGTGAAACTGTAAGTAGTTTCTTTTTCCTTCCCATACATACTCTAAACCGGTCGTGCAACTACTTTAAGCAACACGAAGAGAATTCGAGTCAGTTATCGAGAGACTTTCAAAACGATCGTGCGTGATCCTGGCCTAAATCAGGCCCAAGATGGCTTTCGGCCTTACGTCGTCGATATTCTTTGTGATTTTCGCTCTCGGTAACTTCGTTCATTCTGGGCCTTACGCTAACGAACGAATACCAAAGGACAACGTTACTACAACTATCGATAAAAAAGATTCATTTGACACGAATCAAAATATTTCAAGGTTTGTCTCATTACTGTGATAACAATTTTTTATATATATATATAATATTACAAATATAAAATAATAATTCAGAAAATGGTTATAGGATGGAGAAAAATTATTGGAATACAAATAAGCAAATTTTGTTAAGAACCTTTATTTTTTATGCTAGGATCGATTATGTTGATTTTAAAACTCTTATGATCAATATAACAATTAGAGATAACGTTTAGATTAAATAAATTTAATTGTTAGAGAACAAACAAAATATATCTTTTTAAATGAAGTATTATAATTATATCTTTAAACTAATGTTAAGTAAAATATTAAACGTATTTTTCGAATACATTAATCAGTGAAAGATAAACGATCTGAATTTCTTTTTTTATAGACAATGATCAAATTAAATCATTCACAATTCGCTTTCATACCATAAAACTTTCGAACGATTTTCTATTCGTTAAATATTAAATATATTTGTAATATATATATTATCTTTAAATAAGTAATACTATCTGTAGAGATAATCATATTTAAATATATAAACATAATCGTTTTTTCCCTCCCCGATATATTCGATGCACGTAAGTAAAAGAAGATCAGGAGCAAACGAACGAAGACTCTGTCCGTTCCACTTTGTCGATTTCGATCCGGTCAGCAATAAATGACAAAGTGGACCGTGCAGAACGAACACTAACTTCTTTTGTTTTTAATGTTTAATTTCCTTATTAAGATGAATCGCGACATACGCGACGCCATATTCGATCGCGAAAGAAAACGCGTTGATGAAAGACAATAAAAAAAAAAAAAAAGAAAGAAAGAAAGGAAAATAAGAAAACATGCTTAGTCAGAATATTGTTAACAATTTATGAACGATAAAAGTCTCATTAGAAACTTTATAAATTACTTTAACAAGTGATCTCGTCAAATCCATGATTTTCATTTAACTTATGATTTATTTACACGCTTCTTTAACCTACTTTTCACGAAAACAAAGAAAAAATATCTACGATTTGTCATGTTTTTTTTGTTCCTTTTATTACAAATATAAATCACGTGTAAAACGTTTAAAATGATTTATAGTTCGGTGTTCGTAATAATTATTAAACGATACTATATAGTTCAACTATCTTATCCATTTTCTTACAGCTTTAGTAACCTTGACACAGAGAATGATTACGAATACGAGGACGAAGATGAGGATCTTGAAAAATATAAAATTGCAACCAGGAAATCATTGGATGATAGTAAAAGAGCATTTTCCTTGTTTGGTACAGTTGAATCTGTCTTCTCAGCAATGGCTAATAGTTTGAATAATATAGTGAGTAGTATGATGGGAACACAATCGAAAAGTTCAACTAGCCGAAGTAATAGAATCAGTTATAGAAATCATCAATTATTAAGAATATTTCCTATAACTAATGAACATATTACCGAACTTCGTGAACTCAGGGATTCTGAACCTGATGATATTAAATTTTGGAACGATCCCATATTGAATAGGTAAAATTATAATATAATATTGTTATCGTAAAATATATTTTCAAAGTATTTTTTATTTTATATTACAAAATTGTTTAAATAAAATATCTTATCTTTTAAATATATATCTTAACGTGTATATAATGCATGATATGATACATTTTATTCTCTATAAATATATTATTAATAATAATAACAATTAACAGTGTTTATTCAACGTCAGAGCCAAAAATTTGAACTGTAATAAAGAAATATTATTACTTTGTTTTATTATAATTAGGACAACCGATGTCGTTGTTGGACCGGACATAGTTTCGGATGTGAAGGAATACTTGAAAAGTCATAAAATTGATTTTAAAGTACTCATATCGGATATTCAGGTACTTATATTGTTTAATCAACGTTATATAACAGAAAGCTAAAAAAAAAAGAAAAAGAAAAAATTAAAACAAATTACACGATTTGTTTTTTTGTTAGAATTCTACAAAAAAATTCTAAATAATAACTTAAACAGTACTTCCAACAAATTATATTCTTAGATATTTTCCTTTTTTTTTTTTTCTTTTTTCTTTTTTCATAAGTATACAATTATTCAAATATAATGAAAGACAGAAAGGAGTGCCAGTCTCATGGTCGACTTTCTTGTCGAGTAACCTGTTCAATGTTAAAACGATAATAATCAGGTATATGCTATCTTTTATTTCTAAATGAACATTAATCATTAGCCACATCCTGGCCCAAATAAAGTGAAAACGTTTTTGCCATTTACCTTGACGACTTAGAAACTTTCCTTGTCTTAGAAGACGATCAATTACCAAAATCCAAAGATGTCTAAGGAACAACGTGCCGATCTTGTAACCAATCAAGGACACACCATGACTTGGAGACGATATCATCGTTACGGGGGTACCGTTTTCTTTTTTATTAACAAAAAAAAAAAGAAATAAAGAAGTAATAAAAAGAAAAGACATAAAATCAAATATCCATATAAATGTTTTTTTAGAAATCTTAAGATATTTGGAATATCTCTCATTCAGATATCCAACCATGGTTGAAATAATTACTATTGGTCATAGTTACGAAGGATTACCTATTAAAATGACCAAAATATCGACTGGACCTAAACGTGACGGTGAACCAAAACCTGCTATCTGGATTGATGCTGGTAAATATTTGTTTTTTATATCTTTTTTATCATCGTATTAAAATACATATGTAGTTATATATATATATATATGTATGATATATTTTTTATTTCCGTATCGTGTTATTCGAAATTTCAGGTATGCATGCCAGGGAATGGATCAGTATTGCTGTAGCGACCTATATTTTAAGTCAGTTGGTTGAAAGAAACTCGTCTTACACGAAATTGTTGGACGTTTCCGATTGGATGATCTTACCTGTTGCGAATCCAGATGGATATGAGTATACGCACACGCATGATCGACTTTGGAGGAAAACGAGAAGTTATCACGGTGATCATAGTGCCAGGTAAAAAGAAAATTTAATTAATCTTTCTCAATTAACCAAAATTATATTTATTTTTATTGAATATTTTAATGCGTGTGTGTGTGTACGGATGATATTAGTTTATAATTATTTTGTATATTATATAATATATTTTTCATATTTTATTAATATCGAACTTTTTTATATGAAAAGAATCACATTTTAAAGGAAAATATGATTTTTCACATATATCAGACTTACACATCTAAATAATAAATTTTGTTCAAATTTTAGATACTCGCCATCAAGTTTATTTCATTTAATGTCACATTACACCAAATGGTTTTGGACAAAATGCGAAGGTGTAGATCCAAATCGTAACTTTGGATATCAATGGGGTGAACGTAACAATGGTGGAACAAGTTTGGATCCTTGTCATGAAACTTATGCTGGTCCATATGCATTTTCAGAACCAGAAACAAAAGCAATTGCTGAATATATTATGGCTAATCGACAAAATATTAGGTATACTTATTTTCAAATTTCTTATCGTTTCGTATTTTTTTTTTTTAATCAAATCTAAACGTTTTTATATAAGTATATACAAAAACGTGTTTTTATTTTATTTTATTAATTTTATTTCTGTTTGTATAGAATGTATCTGACGTTACATTCATATGCACAAATGTGGTTATCACCTTGGGCTTATGTTAGAAATAATCCAGTAGATTATTCGGAATTAACAAGCGTAGCAAGAAGAGCTGTTAACGCAATAGCAAAAGTTCATGGTACCAGTTATCAAGCTGGTCCAGCAGCTGATCTCTTGTATCCAACCTCAGGTATATATATATATATATATATATATTTCTAATACAATATAATAATAATAACTTTAAATTACATTAAATACTCTACTAACGGAAACAAATAGAAACTCGTATCTTCTTTTATTTCATTATTTTCGTTTATCGATGATTGTATCATTGATATTAATCTATTGGAAATTCCAATTAATAAAATGGAAAATAATTGTCGAATGAGATGTGAGATAAAAGTTTTAATTGATTGAATTTATCTTATTGATAAAAAAAAACAAAAAAATAGTAACATGGAATAAAATAACGTAACTGTTGAATTTAATTACTATAAGGATTCGGAAAAACAAAATCTTTGCTATAAAAATATATATATATAATATAAAAAAATCAATAATAGGAAGAAACATTTTTTCTTTTTTTTTATTCGATTTCACAGATTCTCTTTTTTTTGTCTTTTAGGAGCTTCAGACGATTGGGCCAAAGTTACGGCTGGGATTAAATATGCTTACACGGTTGAACTTAGGGATCGTGGTACTTATGGTTTTCTACTTCCTGCAACACAAATTGTACCAACGGGAAGAGAAATTTGGGCTGGAATACGAGCCATAGCTCGTCTAGTCACATGCAACACGTAACGCTAATCTAATTGCGTGGATCTATTTATTTTATTTGATATTGAACAACAAAATGATATATCTCTATACGTCAAGATAGATTGACGATAAATTTAGATAGAATTTATTTAAAGAGTGCAAATGCCGTTTCGAAGGACGCAAGATTTTTTTTTTTTTTTTTGATTTAATCGATTAGAACGGTTTCATTTTTTTTCTTTTTTTTTTCTTTTTTTTTCTTTATTTTACTTCTATTTTCATTAGGACATTAATAGCTAGTCAAAATTTAACATCTCATTATATATATATTATTTTAGAAATGTTAGAGGCAATACTTGGTTTAATGTATGGTACTTGTAAAATTATATATTTATGATATATTTTTAATATTTTAGATTTTAGAATAGAAAACAGAATGAAACGAGTATATACAATTATTAATAGAATTTATCGATCGTTAACAAATCCCAAACTACTCAGGTTTATATTTTTATTTTGTTTCGTTTTATTATCATTTATACATCACTATAATTTTCCAATAATATTTTTATGTACGTATCATTTTTAATATTTGTAATAATTATTATACGATGTACTCGAGCATAAAACTGCCATTTGTACAGATATATGATATTATTATTATTATTATTATATTATATTATATTGTTAATATATAAATTATTTATATTTGTTAAATATATGAAATTTATACTTTATCGTATTTTAATTTAAAAAATAAAAAAAAAAACAAAATTATTTCCATCTTATATTGTTAATTTAAATTGTTCATTGAAATATCGATGTTTATTATATAAATAATATCGTCTTAACTTAGCGATTTCAACAAAATCCACAAATCAAATTACAATTATTAAATTACGTAATTAATACAATACAAAAATCAGTGACATAATATCAATCTTTTTGAGTACTCTCCTTATCAAAAGAAACCTAAATTTAACGATATTCTTATCAGATACCACTAATAGTTCCTTATATATATATATCGACAAATTTAATTTATTTTCAGTTATTCAATACCTCTCACAATAATGTTATTCCAATACCTACTTGCCACCTGCCTGTTAATTCAGGGTAAGTGTTAAAAAATGATAAAAAAAAGAAAAAAGTAACAACAAAAACTTGCTACTCTTCATACATTCCGTCAATGGAAACGCGCGTAATATAAATAATAGAAAAATAATAAAAAAAAAAAAAAGTAAATGAAATGTTTAAACATAAAAAATTATTTAGCATGCTGGGCCACACCTTTAAACCCACGTATAACGGGTGGAAATGATGCCAAACCTGGCCAATTCCCATACCAAGTATCTGTCCAATGGGGTATACCACCTCTGGTCAAATTTAGACATGTTTGCGGTGGATCCCTCATAACTGAAGATTATGTATTGACCGCTGGACATTGCGTATTGAAGATTGGAAAATTGAAGGTTGCAGTTGGTAAACATTATCTTGTTGAAACCGAAAAAACTGAACAAGTTGTCGACGTTAGTCAGACGATCGTCCACTCAGGCTACAAGGGGTATATAAATATTCATCATTATATTATTATTATTATTATTATTATTATTATAAAATATGAATTAATAATTGATCTTATTAATAAAAAAAAAAAATACCAAACAAATCCAAAAATTTTTCAGAGGTGTAGCACAACACGATATCGCTCTGTTGAAACTTAAAACACCATTGACGACCAACGCAAGAGTAGCACCACTTCAGCTTCCAGTTCAAGATCAAGTACAAACCGGATTTGTTGTTCTTAGTGGATGGGGTTCGGTATCAAGAAACGTTTTACCAGTACTTCCAAAGGTTCTTCAAACAGCAACATTAACTCTCATGGAAAACGATGAATGTTTGGCTAAACTCCAATCAGTCAAATCTGTCATTGGAAAGAAACCAGAACTTTTCCCGACTCAAGTTTGCACCAGTGCAGGAGAAAAATCTAATCTTTCTGCTTGTTCTGTAAGTTTTTTTTTCCTTTTCTTTTTTCTTTTTTTTACAAATTAAAATCAATTTATTAAAAGCATCATATTCGTATTCGGTTTGATCGTGATCGATATGTATCAATGATTTATTTTATTTTTTTATTTTTAGGGTGACTCTGGTGGTCCATTAGTTCAATATTTTGATTCGGTACCTGTCCAAGTTGGTATCGTTTCATGGGGTACTCTTCCATGTGGTCATGGAATGCCATCAGTTTATACACGCGTTGCTTCTTACTCCGACTGGATCCATCAACATGTTAAATAATTATTATAGGCTTTATTTTACGAGAACATTAATTATAAGTTATCTTATTAAAATATAAATAGATAAAAAATATTTTAATAAAATATTATTACAATCATTTAAATTATGGATCATAAATATTCCTCTTCGATGCCAACAAAAATTCTCTCTAACATTTTCCTTTTGTTCTTCCGTAATTTTTTTTTAAATATGATATAAATATATATATCATTCTTTGAATTAAAATACTTTCTATTTTAGATTGTTCAGGAAATAAATTTACTATTGAATCATATATATTTTTAAGCTACATCTTATTAAAAATCTTATGAAAAAACGTAATTAATTTGTACAATTAATTCAGAAACTTTTTAATAGTTCTGTATAATTAAATTAGTACAAGGAACGAGTGCATGATATGTAAGTATCTTAAATGAGTGACAACGAATCGTATCTGGAGATATTGGATTTTTTTTGTTTCTATCTAAGTAGATAATATATCGCTCTCGATCATATATTGAAACAGATAATAATAAATTTAATTAATTAATTAATTAAAAAAAAAAAGAAAAGCTTACGCACACTGAAACAATTACCATTGTATGACTTTTGCAATATGTGACTTCTTTATTTAAGATATCACATTATTCCTTTTCAATAAAAATCAATGAATCTTCTTTATCCGATTTTTTTTTATCTCAACGGAGATTAAGTTCTTTAGAATTTTTATTAAGTATTCATAGCGATGATATTTTTTGTTTCTCCCCTTCGGATATATCAATCTTAAATATTATATTCCATTGTCACATTATTTCAAATAAATTCTTTTTTTTTTTTTATCATTTTAAAAGTCCATTCCATCATAAAATGAAAAACATTTCTAAATGTATCCAATAATATTATTATTATTATTAATTTAACTTATGTGTTAAAATGATTAAATAGTAATCCAACGCGTTAATAGAATTAGATTGTTTCTTAACGTTAAAAAGTAATAACGATAACGTTACACAAGAATCTTGACTGAAAAAATAAAAAAGACAAACAAATTGATTTACCAATCACAATGGAATAAGGTAAACAAGTGCTTTCGTACCTAGTGCAAAATCTTTCTTATCTTATTTCTATCGTTGCAAGGATTACAAGAAAAAAATGTCATTTTTATTTTTATTTCTTTTTTCCAACTCAATCATTGATATCTCGTTACTGACACATTTCAGAACAGGCTATATAAAACGAAGAAGGAAATCTAAATGCATATCAAACAACATGATGAAACTCATTGTCTTCGCAGCACTTTTCGTCGCGGCTATTGCCGGTAAGTAAAATTAAACGTTACATTAGTTATTTATTTAATTCATCAAATTAATTAACAAAGCTTTAAAAAGTGTAAAATAAAAATATATAGGAAAGAAAATATTAATGATTCTATTGATTTATTATTATTACTATAATTATAATCCAATTAATTTATGATTTTAAATTGAACAATTAAATAAATGTGTATATTAACCATCGATCGAATACTTTGGTACAAAAATATAAAAAAAAAAAGAAATATGCTAAAAGCAGAGTTAATCATTTTGATGCGTGAACGATTATATTACATTAAAACAATAGGACATAATATTAAATAGAAAAAACTAATAATGATTATAATTTTTGCATATGCAGAGAAACCCTATTTAGGTTTCAACTTGCCCATATTTTCTACCCGTATCACTGGTGGAACAGACGCAAATAAAAACGAATTTCCTTATCAAGTTTCCTTGCAATATGGTTTATCTTCATCAAGTCTTAAACACTTTTGTGGTGGATCGATCTTAAACGAACAATGGATTTTAACTGCTGGACATTGTGCTTTGGCTGTACCAAGTTTCGGAATATTTGCAGTGAAAGCTGGAAAACATAATATTGCACACACCGAAAGTGGTGAACAACAAAGGATTGTAGTTAAACAAATCGTACATGAAAACTATCTCGGGTAAGTTAAAATTTATCATTTAATATTCAAATATTATCTCCTTGATGAGGGAATAATTTTACAATGCAAACAAATATATTTATATATTCGTTATATAATAATTAATTATTATATATATTTAATTACGCGAATATATTCAAATTTATACGAATATAGAATTTTATTTTGTTTTTAATGTAAAAATGATACGAATAGTATAGGNTATATTGATTTATTGTAATTATATTATATTATATTATATATTATATTATATTATTATATTGGCATTGATTAATATCGTACGAATTTTAAACGAATGAAAAATAATTTTGTTATAAATATTTTTTTTTGAAATTCCAGTGACGTTAATCCATACGACATTGCTCTATTGAAATTGAATGCACCATTGAATTTCAACAGTGTAGTATCCCCAATAAAATTACCAGCGGCCGGATCAATTCCAACAGGTACTAGCGTTCTCAGTGGTTGGGGATCAATATCAACTTCTTCAATCGCTGAAATGCCAGACATTTTACAAAAAGCTAATCTTCCACTGATCGATATTAGTACATGTCGTCAAGCTATGAATAAAGTTATTGGATCAACACCACTTCACGAAACTAACGTTTGCACTGGGCCTTTAACCGGTGGATATTCAGCTTGCAGCGTAAGAATCAAATTTTGATTGAATCGTTTTATATATTCAAATTATTCATTGATTTTTTAATTATCTTAAACGTGATATTCGTGTGTTTAAATTACAGGGTGATTCCGGTGGTCCTCTTGCCATTAAGAGCGCGGCTAATGGTGTTGAAGTAATAGGTGTTGTTTCTTGGGGTGTTATACCATGTGGTACTCGTGGAGCACCATCGGTTTATACCAGAGTATCTGCATTCAACAGTTGGATCGAAAATAAAATTAAAAGCAATTAATTAATTGTTCATTTGACATTATCATTAATTCGACACATTTCGATCAATCACATTAAATTTTAATGAAATTATTTTATTGAATAAAAAAAAAACCTTTTGAAAACTTCGTACAATCTCATTTATATTTTATGATACGTGTTTTTCTCCGGCCAAGAAAATATTTTTTATTGTTCCATACATTTTATATATATATATATATATATATATATATATATATATATGTGTGTGTGTGTTTATTTCTTCTAATCTTTACTTATTATTTTTTTTAACTCCCTATCTTATTATTTTTACAAATTCATAGAAAAGATAATATAATACGTCATTAGTATACCTTTCGTTTCGATCAATTTTATCGATAAACGTATCTAATGCATTTCTTTATGATCAGATTAAATTATAAATACGAACGAAAAGTAAAGCATGCGGAAAATGTTTTTCAATCTAATCCTGACCTTTCCAAAGATAAAAGAATCAAGGTCCGGTATTCCATTGAAAGAAATCCTGTAATACATGGAACACGACAAAAAGGAACCAGTTTAGATGTAGGAACACGATGTGATAGAAAATCGAGTTCCTCCTCCGCAAAATGATCTTCCGCATCCGTTCTAAGCTCTCACCCGGACTTCGGAAAACGATCATTCGATCTCGAATGTTTAAGCTTAACAAATCGTGTCAAACAACGATAAAAGGAAAAAGAATTTATTTAAGTTTTTAATAATTAAGATTTCAACAATGATCGATGTGTTATCGTTGTTCATTTTATATTTAAGTGTTGTTACGTGTAAAGAAATTGAAGGTGAGAGAAGTTAACAGTTCTTTTTAAAAAAAATATAATTAAAATAAATAATAATAATTATATTACCACGCTAACGCAAAAATTAATTTCCTAATTAATTAAAATAATATTAATATATATATTAATTGCAATCAATCGATAAATTAATAAACTAAATTATTATTTAACGATCATATAGAAATCCCACAACGATCAATGATGTTAGCCCAAAGACCAATAAGAATAGTTGGTGGAAAAAATGCAGAAAAAGGATTATATCCCTGGCAACTGTCCATTCATTGGGGTGATCCTTTACGTAAATTACCACCAAGACACGTATGCGGTGGAAGTTTGTTAACAGCAGGCTGGGTGTTAACAGCTGGCCACTGTAAAACTTTGGCACCGAAAAGAGGAGAATTTCTTATTTTAGCTGGTAAACATAAGTTGGGTGTTTTAGAAGATACTGAACAAAGTAGGAAGGTTGTTGAAATATTTGTCTATCCTTTATACAACGGGTGAGTTATTTACTTTTTCTCTTTTGATATTATTTTCATAATATTATAACGAGAGATTAGCGTATTGTGTGATTTTTTTGTTTTTTTTTAATTTAAAATGTATGACAATGAAAAACAAACAAACAAATATTTAGATCCGTAGCACCGTACGATATAGCATTGATGAAATTGGAATCACCATTCGAATTGAATCCATTCGTATCAACGGTTCTACTACCATATCCAGAAACTATTCCCGAAGGTGAAGCCATATTAACTGGATGGGGTAGCATCGGTAGAACGAAATTACCCGAAAATCCAGAAATTCTTCAATCCGCTATGTTACCTATCTTAAATTACGATTTATGTAAACGTACGTTGGACAAAAGTTTACGTCACGAGGGTAGGAATCCTTTGCATCCTTCGAATATTTGTACAGGACCATTGGATGGTAGTTTATCAGCTTGCAAGGTTTCATTCTTCCTTTGATATAAATATTTCTATTTTACGATGAATGTTTTTTTTTTCTTTACTCTAACAATTTTCTATATTTAATTACTTTTTTTTGCCTTCAGGGAGATTCAGGAGGACCATTGGTATCGCTAAACGCATTTGGCCAAGCAGAAATAATTGGGATAGTTTCATGGGGTCTTTTCCCATGTGGCGGTAAAAATGCACCATCGGTTTACACTAGAGTATCTGCTTACATCACTTGGATTACCTGGTTGATGTTGAATCATTAATGATTCATTCAATAAATTTCAACGATGGAACAATTGTAAAAATTACGTTCTTGAAATTGTTATATTATAAATATTTTATTGTGTGTCGAATAAAAAATAATTATATTAATATATAATAGATACCCGGCTGGTGTAAAGATACATAAACATTTGATTAATTATTATTAGATTATGGCATTTGTGTGTAAGTATTGACTTGTAACATACTTTCTAATGGCAATTCGTTTTACATATATAATATAAATACATATTTATATATACTATACTTAAATATAAAAAGAAAAAAATATACATCACTTTTTTGTTCTTAAAAGTAGTAAAAAAAAATATTAATCATAAATATAACTCTCGAAATAATAAATGTATCGTTAATTATGAAAGTATACTAATTCAACAAAAATTCATTTTATGATTTTTCATTCGATAAGACAAATAATTTCACACAGTTTGTAATATATCATAAAATCAATTCTTTTTTTGTTCTTTTCATTTTTCGACTTATATTAATCAACTTATAAAATTACCGAATACAACTATCTAGTATATATATATATAAGTCTATTTAAAATAATTTATAACGATTTGCAAGCTTCAGCGATAACCTGAACAGCAGCTAATGCTTCTTTAGCAGTAGGAACGATGTAACGTGCTGGTAAAACAAAACCATGAGCTCCCGTATCTCTCAATTCGATAGTGTAAGAATATTTGATTTTTAACATTGCTTTAGCCCAATCATCGGATCCACCTGCTGCTGCATACAAAGTTGTTGCACTGTTACCAACTGTATAAGAACTCGATGCAACATCTGCTTTTTTCATCGCATTGGCAGCATAATGACCGATTCTGTCAAGATCAGCGTAATCTGGTGGGACACGACGATCATAACCCCATGGATATAAGAAATATTGACCATAACTGTGGAACGTTAGGTAAGCCTAAAGTAAACGAACAAAAAGCAAATCAATTTTATATAATTTCGTTTGTAAATTAAACAAACAAACAAAATATATCAAAAACAACGAACGCATGGATCGATCCTTATTTTTTTTGTAAACATGTTGTATATTAAAACCGACCTTGAAATCAGCTGCACTAGCTTCGAAGAAATTCTTAATAGCATTTGTTTCCGGTTCAGAGAATGCTGCAGAACCGGCGAATATATCGCTACAAGGATTTTTACTGGTACCCAAACCGCCCCACTTGTAACCGAAATTACGATTAAGATCTACGCCAACGCATTGAGTACCAACAAAATTACGTCGATTTTTTCTCCACAAACGATCATTCGTAAATGTGTATTCGTATCTGATAGAACAAAGAAAAACAACAAGATCGTTAAGATCATGAATATCTTTAAAATAACTATGTTCGCAAATAGAAATCAATGTGTTTATATATACCCATCTGGATTAGCAACGGGAAGTATATAATAATCAGCATCTAATGACTCGCTATTTTCAACAAGATAATCAATGATGTAAGTTACTGCAGCTGGTGAAATCCATTCTCTGGCATGAATACCACCATCTATCCATAAAGCTGGAACTCCAGCCTTTCCATTACTAATTCTAAGTACCTAAACGATAATTCAATTTTATATACATATATATATATATATATGTAAAATAAAAAAAATTAAAGAAATTCTTTTTTATTTTCGCAAATAATTTTTTGTTTCAAAGATAAGAATGATGATACCTTCAAGGGTCTACCTTCGGCAGAATTACCAATGTTCATGACCGAACAAACGTCTGGATAAGTTTGTGCCAAGAAATCGAGATATCCGTAAATGTCATCGAGTCGATGATAACTCGACCATTCCATTCTGTGACCTAATGATAAGATCTTATAAATTACATTATAACTGTATTAGGGGAATGACACGTGGATAATAAAACCACTCTATAGATTCAGAGCATAAAAGTACATTATTATAATCAATGGATAATTATTTAAAACAAAATAATATATGTATATAAATAAAAATATATGTGTATAACTTAATATAGTAGTGTATGTAATATGCATGTGTATATATATATGTATATAGAAGAAAAGTGAAGAATGAAAATTAGAAGATTCTGAATCGACAGAGTGGGATTGCAAAGCCCAGAAAGCTCACCCCTAAAATGCCAAGGGCCACCACCTCCACCATAGGCACCATACACATTAGCTATGGGATAACGAAGAGGACGAGGACGTGGATGATATTTACTTCGTACTTTGACCACCACTCCCTCCCACCAAGCGTAACGAGCTAAAAAATTTCTACGATTCTCAATCCAACTAATATCATTCTAAATGTTCTAATCGAAAAATCTAATCGAAGAAATTTTATCGACGTTTCTTTCTCTTTTTCTACATTGAAATGAAAAAAATCATCGGATTAGAAATTATTGATCGATATAAAATGATCTCTCTCTCTCTCTCTATGAGAATTAAATAATAATTTAATATATCGTGTTTATAGGATTCTATTGGAAAATATAAATAATCTAACAGAATTGCAAAGATACTGACTTAGATTTCAAACGATAATTAATAGATCAAAGTAACATACGTGCATACGTATATATATATATAATATTTATGTATAAGTGAATTGTAAGTAACGTATTACATACATATATTTATACATGCTTCTTCTAACAGATATAACTGTTACGTTGAGTCGATATTGTCGGATTAAACTCACCGATCTGGGTCAGTAGTTTCAAACCATTACAAAGGTCAACGACCTAAAAGATGTTTATCAATGTAATTCAAATGTTCAAATAAAAATGAAATTTCAATTTTTTTTCCGAGACGAAATATAATTTCGAAAAAAAGTAAATATTCTTATCATCGATCACATCAGTTTTTTTTTGGACGAGGCGTTTCATTCTTTTGAAAACAGATCATTTTTTATCGTTCTTTTTTCTTTTCATCGTCTCAAAGATCATGATTACTATTGAGTAATTTTTTATTCATACAATTGGTTAGAAACTATGGATTAAGAACAAAGAAATCGAAGGATAGTCTCTTTCTATTGGAAAATCACTTTCTAACGGGTGATCTAGTAAGAGTTTCAATTTATTTTCAACAGCTTTCTTCGATACGTGATCGGTTTCGATAATGGGGTAACGATTATGTGCATTCGCATAAGTAATTTGTGGAATAGTGTTAAAAGAAATGAAATCAGTTGGTGGTTTTCTTTCTTTTTTTTTTTCTTTCTTTTTGGTTACCCTCGATTAAAATAGGATTCAATCGATTTTCTTTCTTTTTCTCTGACCAATTATTAAATTTAATGAAGCGCACGCATAGAACAAAAGAAAAGAATAAGAAGAAGAATAGAATTGAATGATCGATAAAAGCAAAACGTGAATTATTATTGATAACGTTGATTCATTCGAATATAACAGGCAATGAAGACAGGCAGCACAAAATGTGAGGAACGAAATAAAAAAGAAAATTACAAAAGAATAAAGAAAGGGAAACAAATTGATCATACGAACCTTTCCGTCCCTCTAATTCCTCCATCAGTTCACTCGACAATGGTGGATTTTCTTCATTTATTGCTCTCTGTAGATCATTGATCACGACTTCGTATCGAAGATTCTTTTCTTTTAAAATTCGAGATGTTCTTGCGATCGCATCTTGCTTCACCATGATGTCCACTGTGGTATCGTTACTAAACCAGGGTGAACTTACTATTTAAAAAAAAAAAAAGAAAACATAGAAAAACAAAATACAAAAATTACATATTCCTTCCGGATATCAAATTGAAAAGAAAAAAAAAGAAAAAAAAAGAAAAAAAAAAACAATAAAAGACAATTATAAATGTAAATTCGATAAATAAAATAATAAATTAATAAAATAAATGTGTAACGCAACAAACGGGGACGGGGACTACGAGAGCGACGAATATGTTAGAAATAATACAAAAAAAAGTAAAAAAATATAACGTGTTTACTAACATCCAATTTCCTGTAACTCGGAAAGGACATCCGATTGGAGAACGGGTTGTTCACAAGAAGGCTGAACCCTCCATAGTTGAGCTCCATCGTATGTGATCTTAGCTTCGCGAATTTTCACAGCTCTGCGAACGTTAGATCTGTCATCGAGTCCTGATGATTCTTCAACAATTTCGATCCAATCGGGTATAACGAATTCTCTTTTGGGTCGATTAACAGATGCCGAATCAACAATCTTAGTTAATGAAGATGCAATGGCTAAAACAACGAAGACATTTAATGACCACCAACATTTTCTTCCTCTATTCGAATGTGACGATGAGGAAGAAATTGCTGAAGAAAAATAAGAAGTCTTCATTCTAGCCATTGCAAGACTAAGAGACACTGTCCTTTTAAGATTGGCTGGTTCGGCTTTTATAACGTTCAATCCGGTCGACGATCGGGGAAGACGCTAACGGTATTCACTTTGCGCCTGCTTGCCACGAATTCCGAGGATCTTGTATGTCTATCTTTTTCTCTCTCTCTCTCTCTCTTTTTCCCCCTTTTTTTCTTTGTTTCTCTTCTTTTAGCACGATAAGCTCTTTTCCCCGGTAATCGCGAACACGTACTAAATTCGCAAAATATAAATTTCACTCCGTCCACTATCCTTATAAAATTTTCTTTTTTTTCTTGTTTTTTTTTTTTGTTATTTCATTTATATTTTTATTATTTTTATTTTTTCGCCTCTTTTTTTCCTCAGTTTTCATAATTTCTTTCAATTTATTTCTAATAATAGGAAAAAAATGTAAAAATATGTATATTTTAAACTACATTCTTGAATTATTTTAAGGAAAATATTGGCGGCTATCGATTTTATGATTTTTTTTTTTTTATTTTTCGATAAGCTTAATTTTACTCGTTTATTATTTTCTTAATTGTTATACGTGGTTGATGTAATGTTACATGACTAATGAGATCAATTTTTGTATCCAATATAGATTTATTTTAAATTAATTTAATGATATTTTTACACGTAGTTTGATTTTGTTTCTATTTATTTAATTTTTATCCCTTATTTTTTTATGCAACATGAATTTATATTATTATTTTGTCTCCTTATAATAAGATGCTACATTTTTAATATTTCTTTTTCTTTTTTCTTTTACTTTTTGTTTCAATTTAATTAACAAACGTCGCTACATAATCCCCATTCTTTAATTATGATATCTATCATGTTATCCCGTATCAATCAAATACACTTTTGTATTCAATATAGATTTTATCACAATTTAAGTCATTTCCGAGATATATTTTTATAGTTTGTTGTTTCTTTTTCTTTTTTATTTTCATGTTTTATTTTCAATACTGCACCGATTTAATCTAATCTAATCTCTAACCAATTCGAGATCATATACGTGTTAGATTTACAATTAAGCTCAAGCTTTATGTAAATAATAACATTTCGTTCCTGTTAGTTCATTTTTTAGGTATTTCAACTCGTGTTTTCTTTTGTTTATCGTACGATGACCACGATGACGCGACGATGAGGATGACGATAACAACGATGCTCAATCATTTGAGACAAAAATATATGCATAATCAATCCTTATTTATTGTTAGATTTATCAAAATAATCTTTTTTGTTCCGTGACATATCTACGAATGTCGTCTGAAACAATTAAAAATATTCACGAATAAAAGAAAGAAATTTTATTTTCATTATACGCGTTAAGAAATATAAAATGTGTGCATTAAAAGAAACAATTGTAGATGTAGCATTAAAATTGTTGTATTTATTTATCATCTAATTATACCAAAACCACACTCATAAATCAAAATTTAATTATAGTTATCATACTTTTAAATTAAAAAATCGAGATTAATCGATCGATAATTTCAAAACCACTTATAGTTAAGATTGCAATAACTTCGACTATTTTATAAAAATCATTGTTCAAACACGTATACTCCATTGCTAAAAATAAGTATATCACAAAAAAGTTGGTATAGAACGTGAACAGCAGAAAAAAATTAATAAGTATTTTTAATTGCACATTGAATTGCATACTTTATTAATGAATTATTTAAGACCGATATCATATTGGAGCTAGAAAAACCTATCTTTCTATAAATTTTCTTAAATTAAAAATTGTTTTCGAGATTGCAGTAAACCTTTTCTTTCGATTTTTCAATTATTAACAACTACTTAAATAATTAATTAATAAAGAGAGCAATAATATATATGAATTTTAATTGCGCAAATAATTGGCAGCATTCCTGCGGTATTTTTTTCTGCTGTCGCGTTTCTATGCCAACTATTTTGTGTTAATACGTATTATATTTCCAAAATGTCAAAACAACGTGCTTAACATTATAACACTATAGATAAGCAAATAAAATAAAATCTTTCAAGAATATCTCAACATTAAAAAAATAAAAGATAAAAATAAAGATAAGATAAAGATTATTCTTAATAACCATTGATAAAACAGATCATACTGTCATCCGTCGATAAAACAGTTTTTTTGCAAACTGTTTTATCGACGTCGTATCGATAACATACAAATTAAATCATATTGACAATGGGTAACAAAACTTTCTAAAATGTTTTACGGTCATCGTATATAGATGACGTTAAAAATACCGGCCATATAAGATTACAACCTTCACATATAATACTACTAAACGTGAAAGAGAAGCGCGCATTGGCAAATGTCGGTAAAATAAACCCGGCGCGGAATAACTGTCAGAGAAAGAGGATATCGCGTTATGTATTATTTTCTGTACAATTCATCTCGTTAAAGAAGAAAATAACGTACAAAAGGAAGTGATCAATTTTGGAGTTACGTTAGAAAGGAATGATAATCAAACTTTAAGAAGAGAAGAAAAAGAAGAGGAATCTCTTCTAATTTCGTGTTAGTGTAATGAGTGAGTTGTGTCGATCGATTCTCCAGGAGTACCGCGCCCCGTGAGAGACGTACATCTGTCCTTCTTCAATATTACCCATCTCCTATCCTCCTCTTTCTCTCTCACGTTCTCTCTCTCACACACTCTCTCTCTCTCTCTCTCTCTCTCTCTCTCTCTCTCTCTCTCTCTTTCTCTCTCTCTTTCTCTCTCTCTCACACACTCTCTCTCTCTCTCTCTTCACCTTACCCTGTCTCCCTGTCTCCCTCTTTCTCTCTTACACATTACACACATAACACACGCATATATAAATCCCATCCAAAGCCAACAGTCTGATCCAAACCTTTTAAAAGGTTCGGTCGTTGTCGTATTCGATCGGCTCCCCGGTCCCGATCTTCGTTCTTTTATTTTGGTTTCATTTATTTTTTTTTGTTATTCCGGTTAAAAAGGGACTAATAAAAGCTTTCATTGTATAAAGAAGAAGAAGAATAAGAATAAAAGATCGTGACGCGTCGTTAATACACGATTAAAATAAAATAATAATTACAAAAATAGGAAAAAAAAAAAAAGTAATAAATAATAAAAAGGTTTCTTCGATTCGATTATTCGTTAAAAAAAAAAGAAAGAATAGAGAAAATAATCATCGGAAAAAAAAATGTCGACAGCGTTGTTGGCAGTTTTTGCCGTAATCCTTTGCATTCTATTCAGATTACTCAATGTAAACAGTGCCCCTCAAAAGCCGCTACTCGTATGCCATGATCCAAACTTTTTGTCGACACTTTTGAAAATCGCACCGGTTATCACCGAACCGTAAGTATATTATGTTTGTTTATCCTATTTTTTTTTTCACACATACTTTTTCATTCATCTATATATGTAGGTCTGCTACTTATAATCTCTCTCTCTCTCTCTCTCTTCATTATTTTTTATTTTTGTATTTTTTGTTTTTTGTTCCCTCGCATTCGCGATAAATTTATTTTATCTTATTCGATTTGTGTGTGTGTGTGTGTGTCACCCCCTCCACCATATTTTTCATTAACGAATAGAAACGAAATAAATATGACAAGAAAAAAATAAGTAAAACTAGTGAGGATAGGTCGAATTCATAAAACATTCACGTTTCTCTATAATTACATTTGAAATAATAAATATTGAATGAAAATAGAAAGTTTCCATGTTGGTACCCTTTTCCTATGATCGTTCGAATTAAAACGAATGATTGATTAATGTTTTCATGTTAGATTATCATCAAGAAAAACTTATTTCTTTATTTTTCTTTTCTTTTTCCAATTTACTCGTTCAATCTTCATTAAAATTCTTCTGTCTCTTTTTTCTTTTTTACGAGACCTACATTTGCCTCGGTTTTTCTTTTTTTCTTTTTAAAAACGTTTGTACTTCAAAGTAATAATAAATCATGTGATAATAACGATAAAACGAGCATACGCTATTTGTTTGCGTTTAAAATTAATACGTACGAATACTTTTTTGCCGAAATTCTAATGAAACTTATTAAAACGTTTTATCTTAGATTTTTTTGGTATGTATTTAAAAAAATTGTAGATAATCGTTCTGTTATCGCAATACAAAATACACAAATATATATATGTATGTATCTGTAATTATGACAATCGAAAAAATTAGAAAAAATATTATATAAAACAAATGTGTATTCATCTCTTATATATTTACAGAGTCAATGACACATTATTGTAATATTGAATAATAAATTAGATAATGTATTATCTTTTGTATTCCCACTTTCTTCTTGTCTTTAGAAAATATTGCGAGTTTTTTTCTTTCTTTTTCATAATGCGTCAACAATTTATATCCGTTCTATTAAAATTATCCCCCTATCTTACGAATATTTATTTTACTTTTCGAGTCAACAAGTTTGAATGTAATTAATGTTCTGTGATTATCTAATTAAGTATAACACTTTGAACTTTATGTTACAAGAATGTTGAATTTATTGACATTGCATTTATAATGATCCCCATTATGTCGTTGTATAATTAATGAAAAAACGAATATACGAAAAATAATATAGAATTCTTATTATACTTATACATTCTCTATTCCATCATCATTTTCTTCTTCATCATCATCATCTTCTTCTTCTTCTTCTATTTCATCTCCTTCCTCTTTGTATCTATTTTAATCCAAGAGTTCAAAAAGCGTATATCTACGAATATAATTCAATGCTCTACAATAGAAATGCTAATTTATCATTCGAGCTTTTCTACAATAGAAAATTTTATTCAAATATAAAGCATCTACGAAATATGCATATAATCTGTCAAACATTAAATACAGATTTGTCTAATTAATCTAATTAATAAAAAGAAAAGAGAAAAAAAGAAAAAAGAATTTTATTTTTTATATCCAAATAAGAGAGAGAGAGAGAGAGAGAGATAGAAAGATAAATATGAGGATGACCTAAGCGTGAACAAGAGAGAATAAATCTATTTCACATATTGCATAATAGATTTTTTTCTTATTCCCCCTAAAGAATGATATCATCACGCTATCAAAAAATATTACAAATTTTGAATAACGAAGCTCTTATCAGCGGAAAATGTGTGAATGTGTGTGTGTGTGTGTGTGTGTCTGTGTTTTTTTTGTCCTATAATTAAACAAAGCGTGAAAAAAAAATTTTTCTAAAAGAGATATCATCTTGTGCAAATATAATTAAAAATTCAATTTATAAAATATAAATATGTTACGTAAATGTGTGCGATAGATGGAATGAACAAAAGAAGAAGATATACTATTCAAGCAATATATTATAAACACGTTCCTAGAATGAGCTATGACATGAATATAGAAGTATGAGCAAGTTTACTAATTAAAAAATGATTCACAAGTTTAGTATTCATCGAAGAGTATAAACAAGTTTTACCTCAAATTATTATCAATGGTTATATTGTTATCATTATTCATTACTTGATATTAGAAAGTATAATTAAACGTTTATTCTTGAGAAGAAATTTTGATTTCTTTTTTGTTTATTTTTTTTTTTTTTGTAATAATTTAATGTTGTATATTATATATTTCTATGTAACTCAATATTGTAATAGCTGTAATATTGTTGAAGTTTTACCTTGATGGAGGAAGGCTTCTCGTATTTTATAAAATAATCGCATTGACCGAGTTCAATAATAATAATACCGACAACGACAACGAGGCTCTCACTTTTACTTCAATTTTTTTTATTCCTTTTTTCTTTTTATTTTTTTTTTTTCGTTGTCGTGATGAACAAAAGCGAAAACGTCGTCGTCGTACAAAATAATATTGTAATTTATATATAGGGAAAAATATCACAAAGGGAATATACTCTAATCGATTTCAAAGTCTATTATTTTTCATGCTAATGCATATACATTGTACGTGTATTTGTGTATATGTGTGTATTTGTGCATGTAGGAAAGGTTTGTTTAGTTTCTGAAAGTACATACTTTCTTTACTTCAAAATGTATAATTGTATGTACGTATGTGTATGTATATATGTAACACGTTCTAATGCATCACTAAATTATTATGTTTTGTATCGTATTGCGTTTTCACTACTTTTAATTTTTTTTAAATTAATCTATTCTCTTATTTTTCTTCTTTATCGATTTAACACATTTGTTTTTTATTATGATTCTTCTTTTTGAAAACGAATCTTTTTAAAGATGAATATTCCGTCGCCATTTTGGTACCAAATATTCGTACTACGAAATATTTAAATAGCATTCATAAAAGAAAATAATTGTTGAAAAACACATTTGATCGATGTACTTACTATTATTTTTTCATATTTACAACATAATTTATGATTAGGTTTTATTTATTAAAAAATAAAGAAAGTGGATTATTGATCAATATTTTGTTTCTTTTCACTGTTAAAAAGAAAATTCATGTTGTTTTTTTATCGTTCAACAAACAATTATTACAAAGTACACAAAGTCTTTAATAACAGTGAAAGTATATTCAATGTACCGTTTAATCGTAACATTCAACGGAAATTGTAAAAGTAAAGATGACTGAGCACGAAACCATAGTTAAATTAACTACATTGTTTAAAGTATGTCGGACAAAGTTCTTACGAAAGATAATGAGAATATCTAATTACAAGATAATGTAAGCAATATTTGTGCTTATTATAAAGTTACTTCCCTTACGATTCGAATTTGTAATCTTTTTAAAACGTTTTCATTTACAAAAATAACATTGTCAGTTCCATGATCGTTTCATTAATGATACGTGGACAAAATTATTTCTGCATTTGCTACAAAATGCATTAGGTGTGTACAATTTTATTTCTCACAAACAACAATTATTAATCTTTCCATTTTCTCTCAATGAACTAACAAAAATATTTTTATAAATTTCACTACCCAAATAAAATATCCATTTTTTGGAGATCTTATAAAAATATTACATTTAGGAGTACGTTCAACCAAAATGCGATCACGACCGCATAAAATGTTCATATTTATAGTCAAAAAAATAATCTGGAAAAGGGGAACATCGTCGAGAAAGGGTATAATTTTGAAATAAACCTAAAATAATAAAGTGACCGCTTTCTCGTTATTTGGTTTGACCAATTTTCTTGCGAATACGAAACGTTTCCTCTATAAAACAAAAAAAAAGGAAAACAAAAAAAGAAAAGATATAAATAAAAATCAATGCTTCTATAAAGAAACGGAGATTTTAGATCATCGATTTTTTAGCTGCCGAAGAAATTCTACTTGAACATAAAACAATATTTTCTCTTGTTTACGAGAATTACAGAGCCATAAAATTTCGTTAGGGTAACGTTGGTTGATTCTCGCTCATCTATTCGTTCTATGACCGTTTTAAATCTTCCCGTGTTCCACTAATCCACTAAAAATAATCTTTTTTCTTTCTCCCTCTTTTTCTCTCTATTTCTCTCTCGTAATAAAATCATCTCTCTAACGGTTTGTCGAATTCTCTATACATTTGATTGAACGAAATGTTTAGCAATGTCATTCATATAATCGGGTCAGTGGTAATATTCTTATCTTCCATTTCAATGGTAAATTATAAGAACTTCAATTAAATGTTTACTTTCATAAATGTACCAGATTTTAATAAACCGATTATACGCGTCATTAAATATAAACATAAAGGAAATTATTAAAACGATGAATATAATATCAAAACCATACTTGATTGAATATATATATATATATCTGTATAAAGAATTGGGTACCGAAATGGCGGCAAAAGTTTTTTTACAAAATGATAAAACGTTATCATTTATTATAAATATAATTATAATACAAAAATGATTATATATACAATTTTGGTAACAATCCTATTTCAGATACAAACCAACAAGATTATGGGGATTCAGTGGTCACGTTCAAACGGTGGTTCACAGTATCATCGGCCGTGTACGGTGTCCTTGGCCAATTGGAGAACGCGTATACATCGGTTTACCTGATAATACTACTTTAACTTATGATCTTTATCAACCATTAACTAATAGCCATGAAGGTTTGTTTATTTCATAGTTATTTCACATGTTTCTTCATCGTTCATTAATTTTAATATGATCCTAGAGAAGATACGTTAATATTGTACACGAGTTTCTTCTGCTACGTACGTACGTATGTTTGAAGGTAAAATAAACAGGTGCGACTCATAACCACGAATCGCACGCTAAGTTCTTTTTTTCTTCTTTTTCTAACATGAGACTTTTAATAAATCTATTATTCATAAATAATTCTTATAGTCGTACACGACCAAATACCTGTTCAGAATAAAAAAAAAAAAACTGGTCGTCAATGTTATAAGGTATTTGATTTTTAAGCTTCTTATTTTTTTTCATCGAAGAAAAATATTCATGTTTACATCGAACTTTGGAATATACTTCTTTCAAGAGGACTCGTCGTTGTTGGTATGCTACCAACTCACCTAAACAAGATTTTCAATGGATAATTAAAAATATTCGAATTGTTTTCTTTATATATATATATATGATTATGTATCATAATCATGCATAACTTACGTTAACAGAAAGCGAAAAAAACAAAAACAAATTTTTAAACATTAAAATATTGGCGTTTGTTTTCTTCGATGCCTCTCTGAATTCTTGAATAGCGAATGCCTTGAAATAAAATGAATTTTATTATTCCACAGATGATATTACAATAGCTATCTGCCCGGGCATCGGTAATACTTCAGAAAGTGTCTACATCAGAACATTCGTTCACCTTGTTCAATGCCACGGTTATCGATGCGCCGTACTTAATCACGTTGGAGCCCTTTCTAGTGTCAAGGTTACAGCACCAAGGATATTCACTTATGGTAAAGAATATAAGTATTATAAAGAAATATTACGCTTTTCTATTCTTATATTATGTATGCCTTCTTATATTATATATATACTACATATTTACAACCTCAGAGCTCATATTACTTTTTATGAATCTCACCTTTTATGTCTATATTATTTTTATTATTTTAGGTCACACAGATGATTATAACACGATGCTACAAAATCTCGTTGAACAACATCCAAATACAAGAATTGTTTGCATAGGATTTAGTTTAGGTGGAAATTTAGTAACCAAATATTTGGGAGAACGAGGCCTGAATAAATTATCTAATATTATTGGCGGTATATCTATTTGTCAAGGTTATAATGCTCTCGAGTTAGTTTATTTTCTTTTTATTCTATACAATAAAAATTTACACGCGCTTAGGTTTTTAATCATATTTGTTTTACCTTTTTCTTTTCTCAGAGGTACAAAGTTTTTACTAAACTGGCAAAACTTTAGAAGATTTTATCTCTATGTAATGACAGAATCCGTTAAGAATATAATACTGAAACACAAACATGTACTACTTTCGGAGGAAGTCAAACAAAAATATTCGCTTAACGAGCGAGATATCATTTCTGCTGCTACGTTACCTGAACTCGATGAAGCTTATACGAGAAGGGTAAGATTTCTTGTTTTTAAATGATATTGTTATTATTTTGACACTTCAAAGATTACGTCTATACGATTTATTTACTTATTTGTTCTACGTTTATTTTTTCTTTTTTCAATAGGTACATCAATTTAGGTCTGTACAAGAAATGTACAAATGGTCCAGTTCCATAAATTATCTTGATAACATCTGTACACCAATGGTATTTATTAATTCTGTAGATGATCCTATTGTACCAGATTCATTGTTAAAACCCATAAAGGAATACGCTGGTAAGTTTAAATTTTGTTATTGCGTGCAACAATCTAATGTATCACCATTTTTTTTCTATGGAATTATATGAACACGTTAAAGTATCTTATAAAAATATACATTAAAAAATATAGTATTAAAAATAAAATATTTTTGTGTATATATATATATATATATATTGATTGTTCATATTATAGCAACTCATCCAAACACCTTATACGTTGAATTGTCACACGGAGGCCATCTAGGTTTCTATGAAGGTGGTCTTCTTTATCCAAATCCCATAACATGGTTGGATCGTACTTTAGTTTCACTGGTAGGGTCACTCACGTTAGCACATGCAGATAAAGCTTTGAAGGCTTCTTAACGACATTATACTTCTACATGTATAAATATAATAATAATAATTATTATAATTATAATAATAATTATTAATAATATAATAATAATTTTTTAGCGCACGTGCGCGCAAAAATGTGCTATTGTACAACATTAGTTTGTGTATTTACAATCTTATTATTATAAAAGAAAACAGTCTTGTTACACGATTGTATTCGATCGTAGGATGGATTTGAATCGTACTATATTAAATGATCGCCGAGGTCATTTAAGTGCAATAACTGACTGAAAATAATCTATGTAAGATGATCATATTCAACATCTTTCATAGTAAACTAGTATGCAAAAAGGAAAAGCGTTAGTTAAAAATATTATTTTGTTAATGCAAAGAAATAGAAAGAGATAGATAAAAAGAAAAATAAAGAAAGAAATTAAAGTATTAATAGTTAACGTTATTAAGATGATAATACATGTCAATCTTAATTACGTGGCTGACCATATAAATTGTACAAAAAATTCAAGACTTTACAAATATTTAGTATTGGCATTTATAAAAACAAAGAAAGAAAAAAAAAATTATTGTAATTGTCGCTAATCATATATTCATCAAAAACATTTCAATTAGATTATCGAAATCATTCTAAATCCTAATGCTTATTTCTCAGGGATTTTTGTTAGAAAATTTGCATTTTTTATTTACAATATAAAATTAATCGTTCGACACAATTATTTAAGTATTATTTTACTGTACTATAAATCTTGACAAAGATTGCATTTATGAATGCATTGGTCGGGAATACAAATTACATGGCATATAGATTATGCTTTATTTGTATTGTTTTTATGCATTAAACATGTATCATGGTAGTTTCATAGTTAATGTCATTCGATGCATTGAAAAATATCAAAATTTAGGATTTATAATGTTTGATATTTTCAGACAACTAGAATTTACTAATATTTTCACAACATATCTCTTTTCGATCTTTTATATAATAATCGTTTTAAGATGAACTATTTCAAGTTATAGATAATTATGTCACTTAAAAACGCATCGAATTCTACGACGATAGTGTTTGTTTGACATAAAGATATAACAAATTAAATGCCAATTATTATGCGTAAAATGTTCAATATATTATCAATAACTTTATTCAAAAAGACAAACTTCGATCTACATTTTCTTTTCTTGTCTTATCATTTCTTGTTTTTTTGTAATCGAAGTTCTAACAACTCGACATATTTATAATATAATTTATAAATTTATTTAATTTTGAATGTCTTTAATTATATTAGTTTAATTATATTATACATGACCAAAAAATAATTTAAATGTTTATAACATTATTATAGTTATATTATTTACTATTTTGAAATATTTATTTTCGTTTAGTCATTATATAAAAAATAAAAAAATAAAATAAACCAACAGAAGAAGAACAGTTAAATTTATATGAATATAACGAATATATAAATTTATGTATATCGATTTATTTTGATAATAATGAAATTGTAATTGTTGGATATATGTATATTTATATTTTCTTAAATGTACGTTTTGGTATATGTTATACATAAATAAGTTAATTTATTAACTTCATATGAAAAAAAAACTAAAAAAAAAAGGAAAGAAAGAATAATATAATTTATAATTTTCATCCTAAACATAGTAGAATGCATTTTTGAGTAATTCTTGTACATAGAAAATAAGAGACAATAAAATTGGGATATCATTTGTGACGATACAATAACGTCAGAACTGTATTAATTTGTCTGTATAATTTTTTTTTACAAATAACAATATTTTTTGGCGAGAAGAAAATAAAAAGGTAAAGGAAAAAAAAAAAGAAACAAATTTCTTTCGATCGAAAGTTTCTAATCTGCGTATAAATATAAATATATGTGAATAGGCCTAAGTTTTTTAAACACCGATATATCATTTATAAAAAAATTTGTATGTGTGAATTAAGATACACCAGATGTTACAGCATTAGCTGATGTATAGATTAAAAAGAAAGAAAAATAATGTATAACTCTCTATATATATATAAAATGTGTTTATAGTTTCACCTTTTAGTATGTGTGTACTTGTGCATACTATGTAATCCCTTTTGTGTGAGTATCAAGAATTACGAGTTCCTGTTGCAACTGAACATATCGTAAAAAATCCAATAATAGAATTTAGTTAAGAAACTTAAATGAAATTGATCTATGAAGTGAATTTCATTTATCTTATCTTTTCATTTCAAAGGTCAATTGTTCCTATTGTGTGAATATTTTCATTAATTAGTTTACTTGAAAAAAAAGATTAATAATAATTTCTAATAAAACAATTTAATGAATAGTTACGTATATTATTACGTGTTGCACAATATTAAAATTTATGTTAGATGAAAAATAAAAATTTAATATTTATTGTAAATATGGCGACATAGAAAAATTATTTTATTTATTAAATATATATATATTATTTCATTAATTTATATCGTATATGTTAATGTATGATAAATCTTTAATTAAGATGCACAAAAATCTAAAATATTTATTTAATTGAACAAACGTGTAACAAGGCACGAGCTTGTATTTTGTAATAAATTTTTGTTTCATCTCCCTGTTCTAATCTTTTCATTTTACATCTCACATTTATTAGTCTCCCTCCTAACACGAATTAGGTATGTACACATATACACGTGTGTTAAACGGAGAGAAAGCTTTCTAAAAATAACAGAAGGGGACATTTCGATCAGCCTTGATCAACTCAATTGAAATAATTTGAAATAAAAATTTTCTATATCTCTCGAAAAAATTATATTTAAAATAAAAGAAATGTAATATATTCAAACGATTTTTATATATAAATTTTATCTAACGATTAAAAGAGTAATATTAATTTATCTTCGTATTTTTTCATTAATTTCTAAATTATTCGAATTATAATAAATATTTATTGTATATACATTTATAATATAAATATATCTAATTTATTCTAAAGAATTAATTATTTATAATAAAACTATTTAATAAGTAATTACAGGACAATTGATCTTCAAGTTCAATTTGAGATATACATATATATCAAATTAATATTTATATATTTATAAATATCCCAAATTTAATAAATATAAATATAACAAGGGATAGATGTTTATCTTACAGATATTTGGATTGTGTAGAAGATTGCTATAATAAGTTGTCGTGATACGAACAGTTAAGTTAGTTGACCGTGAACAGCCGAGGTGATCGGTGATCTCAACAATTGTCTACATTTAAAAACTAAATGGTTTTAATATATAATTACAAGTAAACAAAAAAGAAAACAAGAAATAAATGTCTTAAGTGAACAAATTCATTATCATAATCATGAACAAATCAATTATTTTAATCATAGTAATTTTCTGTTTTTCGTGTACTATAAATTCAACACCTCTTGATTATTGGACATTAAGAGCTCAAATAATTGAAAATGAACAAAGATCCACCCTTGGAGGTCAACTTGAATTTGAACATGGAGAACGAATTGCTAACGATTTTCTAATGTCGAAGAAACGTGCCGAATTTCAAAATGGTTTGTCTATTTTTTTTTAATTTTTTTCTTTAACATTTTTTTTATTTACATTTATTATTTTATTTATTTTACTAATATTTGATAATAATATAAAAAAGAAAGATGTATATTTTATAAAAGAAAATTATTTATTTTATAAATCACACACACACAGAATTTGAAAATATTACGAGACAAAGAACTTTCTTTATACATCATTTGTATAAAAAATGGATATTTCCGACATAAAAGATATTAGAACGACTGTGATTAATTAAAATAGATATAATATCTTGAAAGATAAATTGGTAGTTATTAAATTAAATTTATATATTCAAGTGTTTATAACACACACACACATACAATTTCCAAATAAAATAATAAGATGATATATATTATATTAATATGTACACGTTTAAAATTATATAATTATTAATCTTTAACTCTTCACGCATTTTTGTACTGTTGCCTACCAACAATTTTGGTACATTTTTGCAACGAAGCGTCTGATGAAAAAGAAGTCTTGTTTTGAATTGAAAAAATTAACTCTTTTTACTTGTAAATATTTTTTATTTTATATCCTTCATAAATATAATTCAACTTGGCGTAATATCGTTGAAATTTATTTCTTATAAGCAAGTGTAATACAGTAATCACTTGTATGACATCTGCTATCCATTTATTTCCTTTTATAAAACACCCACGAAGTCCCTTTTTACGCCTTTTCTGATTATATAAAGTTTTCCGTTTAATCTGTTTTTCATAAATTGTTGTAAAATCTCTTGTCTTAGTGTTTTAAACTATTATTTATTTACTTATTATTACTATTTTATTATCAACGATGATATAGCATTTCAAGACAATCAATTAACATTAAATATTAGGCAAGCAAATAAATAGAGAAAAATAGACAAGATGATATACCTAAATATTTGTTTCAGCATTTAAAAACGCAAGTAATTTTCTACCGGCACATAACTTCGTAAGTGTAATAAATAACATAGAACAATCCGAAGTTTTTAAGATCATTCAAAAAATGCCAAAAGGTGCCGTTCTTCATGCACACGACACGGCACTCGTTTTAGCAGATTGGATTTTACGAAACGTAACTTACCGACCTAATCTCTACATGTGCTTAACATCGGATGGCCAATTGAAATTAAAATTTTTTAACAAACCAACCAAAGACTGCAGTTGGAAACTTTTAAGCAATGTTAGAAAAACTACAGACACTATCGACGAAAGAATTTACAGAGAAATGACTATGACAATGGACAATCCTGATGATTATCGAGATGTCGATAAAGCATGGTCTAAATTTAACCGAATATTTTCATTTATTAGACCATTACTTACTTACAAACCAGTTTACGAGGACCACTTTTACCAAGCCTTGACAGATCTTTACAACGACAATGTTATGTACATAGAATTACGTAGTACACTTGAACATTTGTACGATCTCAATGGTACCGTTTATCCACAACTCGAAACAGTAGCGGTTTATAAAAAAATTACGGAAAGGTTAATATAATATATCATGAGAAAAAGAATTCTTACAAAAATCTTACAATTAGTAGGATTTTTCTGTTCTCTTTTTTTTCTTTTATTTTATTTTATTTGTTATATGTTATTTTTATTCCCGACAGATTTGTCGCAGAACATCCAAACTTCTTCGGTGTCAAACTTATATATGCACCCTATCGTAGAGTTAATTTAACACAATTGGATAGATATTTAACGACATTGAAAGAATTGAAAGATAATTATCCTACGTTCTTAGCTGGATTCGATTTAGTTGGACAAGAAGATAAAGGAACACCTTTGGTGGTGTTCGCTAATAAATTGAGAGATTTCGATCATTCGATCAATTATTTTTTCCACGCTGGTGAAACTGATTGGTATGGTTCGAGTACTGATGAAAATCTTATTGATGCTATTCTATTAGGTGCCAAACGCATTGGACACGGGTAAGTAAATAAATTATATTTTTATTCTATAAATAATTGATAATTGTTGTGTGTGTGAAAGATAAGATGTTTAATATCAATGACTATGTTAACAGATCTCACTCAACTACTTCTTCGTTTTATAAACCTGTTTATTTCTACTTAACATTAAACTAAAGATTATCCCTTTCACTTTACTCGACACTTTAACGTATTTTACTTTTAAACTATCCTTAGTAGTTAACGATCATGATCACAGATCTATATTCGCTTAATTCTATCTAATCTCGTTCCAAATACATTTAGATATAACATATAATCTAATCTACTCGTAAACTTTCGATGTATTCCTTATCGATACGTAATTCGATTTCGATTTTATCTACTGTTATAAGTATATTTAATTATAAACTTAAAATATGTATCACAGGGAATTTGGACGGTTATTAAATCTTTATGAACGATTTATTTCGAACAAGTTGAACGTTTCGTCCCTTTTTTGGGACTTCATCAGCAACTCGATCGTTATTGTTCACTAGTCAATATACATTTTATCTTTTTCAAAATCATACATTTAAATATATACTTAACATTTACAATACATTTTTTCCTAAGCACCTTTATATTATCACATGTAATTTAACGACATTGAAATATGTAATCATATTCATATTGAATATAGTAATCAAATATGACATATTACATGTGATAATATAAAGGTGCTTAGGAAAAAATGTATTGTAAATGTTAAGTATAGTTTTAAATGTATGATTTTGAAAAAGATAAAATGTATATTGACTCGTGAACAATAACGATCGAGTAGCTGATGAAGTCCCAAAAAAGGGACGGAAACGTTCAACTTGTTCGAAATAAATCGTTCATAAAGATTTAATAACCGTCCAAATTCCCTGTGATACATATTTTAATATTATATTCTGGACAAGATTATCGATAAACTAATTATAAACATTTATATAATTGTATATTCGTAAACAGATACGCTTTAACGAAACATCCACTATTAATGGAAATGGCAAAACAACGTCGAATCGCCATAGAAGTAAATCCAATCTCCAATCAAGTGTTAAGGCTCGTACAAGATCTTAGAAATCATCCAGCAGCCGAATTATTTGCGAACAATTTTCCAATCGTCGTATCGAACGATGATCCTGGATTATGGGGTGTTCGAGCTTTGAGTTACGATTTTTATCAAGCTTTCGTTGGTATCATGTCGCAGAATTCGGATTTGAGGGCTTTAAAACAGCTCGCATTGAATTCTATTATGTACAGTAGTTTGAATGCCGAAGAAAAAGATAATGCATTGAAACTTTGGAGACAGAAATGGAATAATTTTATACAATATTTAATACATCAAATTGTTTAATATTTTATAGAACAACAACAACAACAAATATATATATTTAATAATAAAAATGATCTATTTAGAAAACATTTTATCATAATTGTAACAGAAAATAATAAACACGTAATCTAAACAAACTCACATAATACGTAATTGTGATAATAGTTAAAAGATAAATACAAGGTTAATGTATAATATTATATAATTGATTTCTTATAGACAAATAGAATCTAAAGTCCTCGATAATATTTATTTGCATAGGAGTGTTCTGTAAAAAAACTTTCCATAGAATTGTAATTTGCATATTAACGATTGATACATTTTTCTATCGTGTTTTTCTTTTTTATTTTTCTTTTCTCTTTTTGTTCTTTTTTTAATTTATTTTTACTTTTATACTATAATTGTTTTGTTTTTTTTTTTTTTTTATAAACGAGATACTACATAAATAGAAATAAATAATTCTAAATAAAGGATTAAACGATACATTAATACGATATATTTTGAAGAATATTAAACGACGAATAAGATGTTTTCAGTATCTGTGAAAAATGAATCTTTTATTTTCTGTAATAATTAACAATATTATATATAATAATACAAATATATATTAACGATGTTTCCTCACCCATGTAAAAACGTCAAGATTGAGAGAAAATATTCGATGATATGTAAGAGTCAATTCTTTTTGACTGACTCTCATTAATAATTGTAAATTTCGACGATTATTCGGAGTCGACATAATCCACTTGCTATTATAAATAGCATCGGAAATTTCTTTGCTCTAAAGTATAAAAATATATAAATAACTGTACTACTTCGATCGGTAGAAATGATTTCGTTAAAAATAATAGATAAATACCTTTAATCGAAGCTCGTTGCCGTACCAACAATAACAAAATATTTGAAACATCATAGAACCGGTATATAACACGAATGATAAAAATTCTACTGTCAGAGGATTTTTCTGTAAATATTTAAATTCAAAACTATATATAAACACGCTAACGACTGAAAGTTAGTATACACCTACTACATTTTCATTATATATTTATGTACAAACTATCGGTTCTATTTAAATTAACATTCCTTTATTCTCGCATGTGTTTTATATAACTTTATATTCGAACGGACATATGACAAATGAATTTATTTGCGAACGGAAAAAATTGCGATAAATTAATCGCACAAATGATAAAATTGTGTAAAATAATTATAAAGAGAAAAAAAGTTAGTTACAATTTTGATACTAAGCGGTAAAATTTTCTAATTAATTTTCTATATATGCGAAACAAATATTTCTATACGAGTGTAGATTGAAAAATTTGGAAGACCATGCCGAAATATAAAATTGACTTTGATCGAAAACGTAAAAGTTAGTCTCAAAACTTGGCAACCGACGCCTAGGCATATATACAAAAAGAAAATATTTTAAGAATGTAGAGTTCAATGACTTAACGTTTTTTCTTTTTCATATACTAGTAGGTGTGCCCAAACTTTTATAAATAGAAATTTTACAAAGAAAAATATAAAAAAATTAATTTAAAAATAAAAAAATAAATTTTCGAACCTTTGACATTTGAAAGATGGTGGTACAAAGAGTGATCAAACTGAAAAGGAATAAAACAGCGATCGTCCAAATAAACAATGATTCTATTCTCTTAACGAGTCCATGAATAAATACATAATGTCTAACGCACTCTTTTATTTCATTCGAATTACCTTCCCTAAGAGTTTGCGTGCAACGCTCGCTTAGAATAGCAATTTGTCCGCAAACGTGAAGGGTCAAACCGTATACGAGAGAATCGAAGGATACGTTTAGAAGTGCTCCGTAAATAATGGATACAGTATGAATCAAATATGTTACCAAATAGGCGTGTAATTCTTCAATGGAATACGGCAAATAAGTATTGTATGGTAAAACTCTGTTCGAACGATGCAATTCCATGATAGGAGCAAGTACGAATGCCACTGCTGTTGTTTCAGACAAAGCCATGAAGCTAAGGGTACACCATTTAGCTATGGCGCGTAGACACATTTCGATTATTAATATTTTATACTTTGTTATTTTATTAATTTTTTTTTTCTTTTCTTTTTAAAGAAACACCTCCCAACAAATATATTTCGTACCCCTGCGACTATAGCTTTCCAAAATCTTTTCTTCCGTTACATTCCTCGGACGGCATATTTTCTCACGTAATAGGTTCAATAAAATTAATAATTTTCTCTTCCTAAATAAAATGTTAAGCAATTTGAAGCACAATGCGAGAAACGTCAATGCCATAAAAAGACTCTCAGTCACATCCTCGAGATCATTACGGGAAACGATTATTTCTATTAATTCGGTTAAAGTGAAGTAAAATATTATCGTTATTACCATCGATCTGTGAACAAAGATTTAAAAAAAAAAAAAAGTAAAAAGAAAAAAAAATATAATAAAAGATAGGACAAAAAAAGTTCCTAAAATAATTTTCAAAATCAATCACTCTTTTTGCGAGACTTTTCCAAGCTGATTTCTTCGTTTTTTTTTTTTTTCTTTTCTTTTTTCTCTTATGAATATTAAAAATGCAAAAGTCTATAAAATCTTGAAAAAAAAATATTTAAAATTTTATCTATAGAATCTTTTTTGATATATATCTTATGTTAAGAATTTAAAATAATAAATGAAATAATTTATTAAAGCGTAAATCGCGCATTCGGTACCCGTGAAAAAAATTAATTAAACGCATAAAAATATCCAAGTCGTCGCGTTCTCTCCAAATTCCACAAAAAGTAAAAATTTTAAAATTCACTGGTAAAATATCCATAGCTTTATCCTTTTTTCTATATTTTTCTACTATCTCATACAATCTATACAATATTCCAAGTGCTTTATTATATACTCCGATAAAGAAAGAATCAAAGGGAAAAAAAAAAAGAAAAATAGGCAGGGTTCCGAAACAGGGGTAATAACGTAGCGTTCTAACATCAAAGGAAATTGCTATTTTATTTATTTAATAATAGATAACCATGTACGAAGTCTAACGATACGCTAACATTACGTTACATTAGAAAACATCCGTTTATTCTCATCCCTATCTAATATTGTTGTTCTACTATTCTTTTCTTAACTCGTATTATTAAATTATTCGAAAGTAAGTTCATCCTAACAAGTAGTTTAAAACATAGATATATCTATTACAGGTTCTAGTCGAATATATCGATTTATCGATTTACGATAAACGATTTTTCTAGTTTTCACAGTAAAAAACATTTTTCTTCTTGAGCTAGTGATTTACAAAGGTTCTTGATAGTTGCATACTTATTGTTTTGAAAAATATTTAGATTTTAATGATATTTTACTATTATTTATTCTACAAGAATAAAGAATAAAACAGTAAATATTAAATTTATATATGAGAAAAATTGCAATTAAATATTCGACATATTCAAGTATAACAATAAACGAAAAAGACTTTTTTAATATCGTAGAGGATATGGTTCGTAAATTTAAATATTTTTATTTTCGCTTAATGAAAAAGTAATATTATATATTTGGCGGTGAATTCGTTTAATTGGTCGATATCAAAACTACGAACCGAAGTGGCATCTAGCGTGCATCGATGTACTCAAGAGAAATAGTGAATTTACCAAAAAATTTCTTACCAACATAAAAAATTTACTCCTCCATTTTTATTTCGAATCGTGTCGAACAAAGATATCTTATAATCTTACGTGTAATAATCCTTTTTTCTATTGTCAAAGAAAATTATCAAATACTAGAAAAAAAATATTCGACATCAATATGTCGAATTTTGCAAAGGAACAACTTTTAAAATATGGTTGGACTGAAGGTAAAATATTGAAAAATCTTGTAAATAAGAAACAAATGAAATTATTGAACGCATAGGCTTAATTCTACTCAACTTTCAATTTTCTTTTGTTCGCATTTGATAATGTCATCATGTTATATTTATATCTTAAATAAATTGTTATTTACAAGTAGGATTTATTCTGCTAATAAGGAAAGATACAAAAAATAATTGTAATTAACTTTTGACATATCGAATGATCATAATAAGTTGTATAATTTATCTTCTTGTATTGCGAATATAATAATATACGATTATCTACAATAGAATATATTATTCTTTATTATCAGTATTTTTTTTTTTATTTATGCATCCAAACCACTTAATCATGATTTTATTTTTTGAATGATACTTTTTTTTTCATTTTATTCTAAATAAAATAGGAAAAGGATTGGGTAAGAATGAAAATGGAATAGCAGAAGCTTTAAGACCCAAATTAAAATTTAACAGCGAAGGTTTAGGGTATAATTCATCATCGAGCACTGAATGGTGGCAAACTGCATTTGATAATGCTTCCAGAAATATTGTAATTAATAAGCAAAATGATGAAATTTCATTCTCAGTTGTTAACAAGAATTCAACTGCTGATAAGGCAGCAGAAATAATGTTAAAATCTAAAGAATCAAGACAAAAGATGTATAATAATTCTCGCAAGCTTGAAATGACGAATTTTATTAAACCGCTAACTTTAAAAAAAATAGAGAAAGAAAGAAAAGAAGAAGCCTCCAAAAAAATTTCAATATTAACAGATGATGAACTTTTTAAAGCGTGTGGAGGTAGAACGGGGCACAAAGGTGCTCGTCATGGCTTAACCATGAGTGGAAAATTGGAAAGGATTCATCAACAAGAAAAAAGATTATTACATCTTATGAAACGCTTAACTTTGAAAAATGCAGCCAAAACTGCAACTGAAATGGATGGGAATGTTGCTAAATTAAATAATAACAGTAATAATAATAATAATAATAATACAAATGTAGCAATAACAACTACAAATGAATCATCTAGTAAAGAAAATGATTTTCAAATCGTCAAAAGTAAGGCTACAATTAAAAGAGAAAAAAGAAATATGCAACATTTAACACGTTTGTTAAATAATGCATGTAATATAGATGATATTACTTGTAGTTCTAATATAACAGAAATTAAAAAAAACTCAAGCCATAAGGATAAAAAAAGTAAAGATAAAAGAAATAAAACTTCTTTGATTAGTGAAATTATCACTTCACCAGAAGAAAAGCATGATTTGGTGAAATCTGATCAATTACAAATGCATGATAAAACATATAAAAAACATAAAAAACATAGAGTAGTTGTCGTAAAACAAAAAAGAACTCCTGTAGGAAATATATATAAAGTTCTGGATTGTCCTGTTGAATTATATAATCTGTTCAAGCATCAACAAATATCTAAATCTCAAGGAGATATTAATATTAATCGTAAAAGTACAGATACTTCTCCTGAAGATTCTTATCATTCTAGGCATACATCGTGTGATAAGTTGAAAGTTCAAAGTATTTCGCAAATAATAAAAAAGAAAAAATTATATCATTATAGGAAAGTTAAAGGCGACCTTAAATGGGAGAAATATGCTACTCCATTTGATGATAAATTTTATAGATTTATAAAAAATTTCTTTAATAATAGCATAACAGAGGATGTTAGTTCAAAATTAAAAAATTTATCTGTAAAAGGGAAAAAAAAAGAAACTAACAATGACGATAGAACTAGCATGTAAATTCATATTACTCCCGTAATTGTAATAAAAAATAGTACAATAATTAATCATCAAAATAAAAGTCATTATGCAATATTAATGATAATTAATATTATAAAACAATGTGTATTACAATGCCTAAACAATTTAAATAAGTGTATTAAAGTACTAATTGAAAATGATAATAAACATTATTAGTGATCATTAAAGCAAAATTGATTAAACATATTTAGATAAAATATCATTATAATCTAAAATTATGTTTTATTAAAATTGATAAATTTGTCAAATCATCTCCATCTAACAACGATGAATTTTTATAAAGATATGTCTGTACTGTGCATGATTATCAATAAATGAACTTTATTTTAAAAGGTATTTATGTTAAATTTATTTTATATTTTTCTATAAATTTCCTTTTTATTCATTTTAATATTATTTAACAACATCGCGTTTGTTTACTTTTATATAATTGATTATAATTAAAATTGTATAAAGAAAATGCATTTTTACTTCTTACAATTGCATTCTTTTTTGTCAAGAGCAACAAAAGCCAAAATTATATTTATTCATAAATGTGCCTAAGATTTTAACATCGTCTTATAACTTTCTTATAAACATATTATATGTATATTAAATACAATTTTAAATGTCTCGTGGAACATCACTCTCCATAATTAATATAATTTTAATAATTTAATGTTTGTACATAAATTTGCATTATATTAATGTACGTATATCATCAATTTACAATAAAAGAATAGATTTCTTTAGATTACGAACGATTTGATATAATATATACCTATATTATGTATAGTAGTAGGAAAAGAAAAAATAATTTTTTTAAATATAATATATTTAAAAATCAAATGTGTGAAAGTAGACTTTATCATTATACTATAATGATAAATTACGTAAAGTCAACGTAATCGATAAATTGATATCTTTTTTATACTTTCACACAAACAATACAGTTTCTTATATTTAATAAATAATAAAAATCCTACATGAGTATAGAGAGTTATCTAAAAACTATCTATGATAATCTCAAGCTTTTCTTTCGGAAATTTTGTTCTAAGTAATTATTTGCTGATAATCATTTAATTTTTTTTACATAATTTTTTTCTTTTTTTTTCTCAAGACTACTTATAATATAATTATATACTAACTACATATGTATTAACGCAGTATATTTTTCTAAAATTAAAAACACGATTGGACATGTTGAAAAGGAGTTTTACATATTATCGACGAATTTAATTTGATAAAAGTGTATTGATTTTATAATTCTTTTTTTATTAAATTCCTTGATTAAAATGTAAATGGAATGTACATCGTTTTTGATAAAAAGCTTTTTTGTTTTTATATATAAAAATATTACGCAAATTTTAAGAAACAAGACAAAGATATTATTATATATATATAAAGACTAATGCGTTTATAAAAGATTTTAAAACTTCTTTGCGTGTAAATATCAATGTTTTGAGATTCTTGTATTTCTATTTTACATCATTACAAAATATCATAACAGAAGATAAGGAAGCACTTTATTGGTGTATCATCTATTGTAGTATTATAACAAAATTTAAATTTTTATTCATTTTGTTTTTTTTTTATATTGTATCTAAAATAATTCAAATATATCAAATTTAATATTTAGCAAAATATAATTATGTTCAAATAACAAATTCTTTTTTTTACTTCAAAGTAAAATTAGAACATTATTTGTAAGTTACAATAGAAGATACAAAAACAGTATTTATATATATTTATCGATGCATCAATGTAATAACGGACAATGAGGAAAAACAGATCTATTCTTCCGAATTATAAGGTATTCATAAAATTCGTTAAATTTCTAATGAGATGTAAATAGGAACCTTATAAGAAAATTACAAATACCCAACTACGATATGCTCTCTAATAATAAAATTATATTGAAAGAAGCTCACTAATAAGCATTTTCTATAAACGAAAATATCAAAATAGAAAATAGATTAATCTCTCCAATAATTTATATATATATGTATTAGATTGCTTCGTATAATATTAATACTAATATACTGAAAATAAATGATAAGATGTTATCGTAAAATAAGCCAATAGCTGACATACGTAGAAGATCTAATTGACAGCGTTTCCTTATAAACTACTATGGCATAAATGGAAAAATATAAAACCTTCTTTCAAGTATCAATTACAAATTCTTGTATCGTAATAACACATTATCATTATTTCCAAAATTCTGTGACATGTAATATGGAAAAGTATTTTAAGACATCTGTATGTTGTCTTTATATACAGTACGATACGTGAGATAATACCAACATTTCCAATTATGTTTCAATCCAATGTGCTAAACACATTTATTACTAACAACTCTTCTTTTTACCATGTAATAACCAACATTTCTACCACTTCTGCTTAAGCTAACAGCTTGTTTATCAGCATGAATTTGTTTATTATTGCAAGATATATTTGTATTATTCAATTTATTCCATATTGTATACATAGTAGACGCATTAATTTTGTGTGTAGTTATGGAATTCTTAAGTATACAAGGTTCCAATTTTCTTGGCGCGTAACTAAAACCTGGATGATTAGTAGGATTTATTTTTGCATGCTTTGCACAAAGACCCGTAATGTAAACGTCTTCTAAATGAAGTAGAGGTGTTGACAAAGCTGCCTGATATAACTTAAAAGCTGCATCAATACTCATTACATATCCTGTACCTGATAGATAGTTTGGATAAACCTTTTCAGGATACATATACTTTGGCATATACCTAATATAAATATATAATGTATTCTTTAATGTCTATAATTGTGTGTCCACTTAATAATTATTGTAACTAAGAATCAATTAATAATACTCAGTCCTTTATGAAAATACTCACCATTTATTTGTAGGGTTTAATATAGGTCTAGCGCTACAAATAAGAGATCCCAATAAAATATCTTTAGACTGCGTTCTTGCGTGCAAGGTTTTCATCAAAAGAACTATATTTACAAACATATCATCATCCGTTTTCATAATAAATTTAGCTTCTTCGCAATTAGAAGTGACCCATTTTAACATCATAATAGACTTTAATGTTAAATTATTATAAGTGTCAGAAAACTTTTCTTGTAGTATATCATTAAACTGAAGACTTTCTTCTAATACAAGGCTCTGTAATAAAAACATGCACAATACAAAAATTCTATTTGTAAACTTAACTTTGCTTAATTATATATATGCGTCTAATATAGTTATTTCATGCAATAGCTGCTTACTTCATGAATTAACGGATTTCAAAAAATAATTTTAACATATATATATATATGTATTCAACTGTACGTACATTGAGTGTGTCATTATCACTTTGTCCCAGAAGAAATGCAACTTTAACCGTAGAATTATATAAAAGATTTAAATTACTTTTGTTAGCCCAAGTATTTCTAATAGCCATTCTAGCTTTGTAGTTTCCCACTGATGAGCAAATAATTACAATTAAATATGGAGGTGGTGAACAAATAGCGATCGGACTTAAAATGGAAGTGATATTATCCGGATGAATGTAATTTTTTACATCTCTTGAAGTATTGTACGTCCAACCAGGTAACTGTGCTGTAAATTAAATACCTTTATCATAACTAGATAATACAATAAATATCACATTAAAATATAAACATGTTACATTCAATTGCGTAACTATTTTATAGCTGTTGATACTATCATGCACATGAATTTACATATATATATATACATATATATATTTATAATATACATATCTTTTTCTTTTTTTCCAAGTTTACTATACCTCAAGCATTCTACAATGTAATTCTGTATCAATAAAATTCATTCATTCTTGTGTTTAAATTGTATTGCAAATTGCATTTGAATATTTCCAAATATATGCACTATACAAGGTGCAAAAGCTTCAAAGCAATGTAAACAAATAAAAGTATTGTGCTTTCGGATGTGAGCATTGATTTTACATATTGCCATATTTAAAGCACAGAGTAATGCGTAGAAATTTTGTAACTATAATAAAAAATAAATTTTCAAAAAACATACCAGAATGCGAACTTATCAATGTACTAAACCTGTTTAAAACCTGCCAATGATAACTAAATATTTTAATATTACTTTTAAATACGATATAATTTTTAAAATTTATTTCGGAAACATCGTTGATTACTTAAATGACATTTAATGATCTTGCAATAACAGCTCTATTATAATATCTATGAATGATAAATATATATTTGAGCAATCAGATGCAAAAAGTGTAGATTGTGTGATCAAGCAACATTAATGAATGCATACCTACAGTGGCTACCAAGTGCGAACCACTGAGAAGCTCTGTAGGGGACGGAGTCTCACCTAAGCCTACAAATGGACCCTGAGCTGAATGATATGCTGGTACATATAATAGGCCTAACACAGCCAAAATTACAAATCCTAATATCATTCTTTTGACAAAAGATATTTTAGTATTTCCTTTGACGCTTCCAATATTACTTATGCTGGTGGCAGACGGCAATTCCATACGTAACAGTCGAAGTCTGTCCATCTTTGAAAAATATAATAATAATATAATAACATGTAACACAATATTCATACACACAAACACACACATATGCAAATGTATTTATTGCTACAAAAATTAAAACAAAAATTTGAACATGGAATATAACCCATACCTTTTGTAAAACAAAACTCTATGTTAAATTACATCAAAATAAACATCTCTCAAAATGAATTGTGACATCTTTTTATAAAATTGCCATTTACGATCAGCTGTACTTGGCAACAAAGGCTGGATAATCTAAACGCCGAATAATAACTAGGATGTAAACAATAACTTACTTTTGAAACGCGATGAGCACGTCATGCCGCATTTGATACCACTCCATTTACTCCTTTTGTAAGGCTCTACATAAGAATATTCATTCCATCAAGTACTCGAGCATCGTATACTTTAATCAAGTAATGACGCATAGAAAAGAAAGAAAAAGTACGAAGGCTGTGGGCTTTGATGCAAATCTTCAATATATCACACTACGTATATTACACTATACATTTTCTTACAACCATCTCCTTCTAACCACTATGGACCACTAACGGTTTGGAAACTCCCCTCTTGCGGCACACCTACGGTTAGCGCCATCTACCCATCTCTATGCATCATTTTGCGGAACTATTACAAACAATTAAATTATTGTCAATAAGAAATCAGAATTAAAATATTAATAAACAATTTTGTTAAATTAATAATCCTAATAATTAATGTTGCTTTTGTTTCACGCATTTGTTAAGCTCTTACGTGATAATCTAAACGACATAACCTAAGAAAAACGTCAATTATTAATAAAATTCTTTTAATGCATTAACCATTCTATGAATTATTATATATATTTTATGATATTAATTTGATATTATATATATATATACTGTATGAAATAATAATTTATCTAACTATTATATGTCTCTAATGTTACATCACAATATAATAATGTATAATGTCAACTACGGATCTTCTATTTTTCTAAAAAAATATCTTATTACATTTTTCTCCATTTAGTTTAATATATTTGGAGTACATTTTTGTTAGATTTTTCTTATATATATATCTTATTGGAATTTTAAATATGAACGAGTCTGGATGTAATTTATTGACAACGTATGCTTTTAAAGGAGGAAAAGAATATGTCGTTAAAATGAAAGTAATGGCTTTTAAACGAAGTCAAAGATGTCTGGAATTGACGATAACAGATAAATTTACTGCAGAAGATTGGAGATCATCTTACGATACTGCATGTTTGTTATCATTTTTATTCTTACGCTATAAATATTTTTTCACTCATATAAGATTTTGTTTATATATAAATTTTGTTATAATATATATTTACATTAATATTATAAGTAATATTTGTATTTTCATTTAATATGCCAAGATATTGAAAACTTGACCCACAAAACGGGAAATTATAAACAGTTTGATGTGTTTGTCGCAATGCTACAATCAGGACTATTAAAAGTAACTTTTACATTGTGGTTCTATAAATCTAATTTATATTCAACATCAGTAATAATAAGTAATTTACAGACAAGCGAATCTATCACATTGGATTTATTGACTTTTGAAGATCTAGAATTATTACGCTCACGCAAAATTGATAGTAATTCTGTTTCGACTATAAGTAATAAGTCAAATAATAGACGATACCTTATTTTAACTTATACAGTAGAATTTGATCGGTAAGTAATAAAAAAAATTAATCTTATTATTTTGTCTAGATATAAGAATTATGATGTGATATTAATTGAAGAATAAAGATTTCTGAATATAACAATGTGCATATGCATTAAGTGAAACATTTTTTTTTTGTTACCTTGTATATCAAATATTAAATACAAACAATATGTATAAAATTAATCTCTATGGAGGTAAAACAAGTATTCTCGAATATAACAACCTTAAGAATCCACTATCCATTGCCCTTGGAATACTGTGGTTTGCCCGATTCGACAATATTGCAAGCAACGATAAGAAGATTGCAAGCAGAAATAGAAAAATTAAACTCTACTGGTATGAATAAAGATCTTCAAAAACGGATAGAAACACTTTCAATCACAAATCAAAGATTACTTGAAGAAAATCGTAAGCTCTCTAGCGGAGGTATATATATATATAAATATTATATATATATATAAGGAATCAAAAATGAATTAATATTAATCCATTTTCATTATCTATCTATATTTTTAAATAATACAGGAAAAGGCATAAGACGATTAGCTAGTGCAATAAGTGCATTAGAAAATAGCGTTGCTAAAGAACGAGCATCATTCCGAGCACAAATTCAAAAACTTCGTGCTGAAAACGCTGCCTTGTCTCTAAAAATACGTCAGCTTACTGAATCCGCTATCAAAAGATCTCGCAATAATAGTCCTGCGTTAAAACGTCGAACTCCTCCGCCTTCTTCGTACAGTCGTCATTCCATTAATAGGAGAAGTAGAAGCCGATCTCCTTCTATTTATGGTCATTTTAAAACGTCTAGTTTGTCACCTGGTATTACAAATAATTTCAATTTCTTATAAATTACATTTTACAATATTAAAATAATTATTATTTTTAAGTTAATATCTCAACACACACAAAAATTACAGGAAGTTCGATGGAGTCGTTTCAAACTAAAACTTCTTCGAATCGAAATATTACAAAATCACGTTACATTTCCTCTAAAGAATCAAGTTTGTATTAAATATCTATAATTTTGTGTTATTGTATTAATTTTCTATTTTTATTACAGAAATTGATTTTGGAAATTTGGAATCAAGAATTTACACACTCCAAAAAATGTTAAAAGAGGGAATTAATCTGAGTTAAAAAAAAAAGTACAGTAATATTTATTCTTTATGTATATATACAAACTAAATACAATACCTTTATTTGAATTAAAATTTTTATTCATTTTTATGATAAAATTACAAATTATGCCATTATTGATCAAAAGACTAGAGTTACCTGCAAAATAGTGATGTGCTAGCATCAATAAACTCATCTTATTTATCAAGATTGTTAATTAACTCATTATTTTCTTAACTTAACTTTTCTATATTAATTGCCTATGAAAAATGAAGTACAACGATTTTATAAAAACTAAAATTAACGTTTATTGTAGATTTTATATTGTATATATTCTATAATTCAGAAATAAAAAATCAATGTAAAATTAAAAATATGTACGAAGCGTCTACAGAGAAACACCCTAATATAATATGAAAAAAAAAATTCTGACGTTTCATTCACAACAACTTCTGATATATACAAAATATTCCAAATAGATAAAATATATAATATTTTATAACAAAAGAAATTTCTTATTGTTGACTAAAAAATATAAGAAATCACTATTGCTAATCACATTATGGAAGAATATCTCCGAGTTATTGTACAATTCAAATAAATATAAATAATTTTAATTACCTAATTTTTTTCTTCTATCTATCTGCTTTAACATTATTTTCATAATATGTTATAGCGCGTTGAACCAGCGAACCTTTTATTTCTGTATTGTCTGTTGCTTCTGTGCTTATTGTAGTATTTGTACTTTGTGGTTGATCAACTTTTTTCTCAGTTTCTGTTAACACAGGTTGTTCAGGTAGTTGATACTTCGTTCGTTTCGCTAATTCTTTTATAACATCTTGTAAATAAATAATATCACTTTGTAATTGTGTACTATTATTTTGTAATGACTCGATATTATTCTTAAATTCTTGTATCTGTGCATTGCGTGCTTCTTCTCTTTTTGCTTCTTTAGCAACTTGACGATTATATTCAAATATTAAACATCCACCAGCAAGACTAAAAATAATAACTTCTCCCATTAAGTTAGATCCTAATTCTATTGCCATAGTTTCGTTTAACTTAGCTACTTTCGTTGGTTTTCCAAGATTCATCATATACATTTTACCTTTAACTTCTGCCCAATGATAAACTGTATCGTAAAAAGATATCACAATAATTGTTTTTTATTAAATAAAGGCTCATTGTTTTAACTTAATTGTAACTTAATTGTTTTTACTGAATTATATATGTTAAAATGTAAATACTTACATTGAGCAGGTGGAATAATAAAGTATGTACGAAATACAGGATGATTTTTAGCTTGATTAACTATTAATTTAGCCAAAGGTTTACTAATTTGTTTGATAAGTAATACACCTAATTTAAGAACAGGAAATACACCGATAGCCATTCTTCGTTGTAGTTTTTAATGCAACACATCAACCTTTTTTCCTTATATTCTGAAATTATATAAATTAAAAATTAATTAAATATTATAACATATAATTATTATTAGTTAACCAATCGTTATGAAACAAAAACACATCTAAAAAAGATATCATCGTGCCAAAAATATTATATTTAATTATCCTTGTGAATAATTATTACCTCATCTCCAAAATTATTTGAAAATACTGTAGATAGTTATAACTTCATAACGAATATTATTATATAGATCACTATCTGTGTTTTGTTAATAGGAATGCTATAAAATTAACAATCAATCAATACATAAATTATTCTATTAATGATCATTGTTAAATATCTCTGTCACTTACATATAGACCTTTTACAATACTATTACATAGCCATTTTTAATATTTCGTGGTATGTTATAATCTAGAACTAAAAGTACTGATATCTATCTTATACTAGACTGCGATTTTGCAAAAAAATTTGTGAACTAGGCTTATTAAAATTTGCGATGTATATCTGATTCACCAATAGAAACGCTTTCGTTTGGACAAACTGCATCATAATAATTGGCGCCATTTTCAAATTGTTTCTAATATAATTTACTAGAAAATAAATTGTGAATATAAAAATGTGAACAACAATTGAACTATTGTTTTAAATTAATCTTACTCTCTTAATTTATTTTTTATAGTAAAAAATAATTCACGAAATATATGTTATCTAATAATGTAATGTTTATCTAATATTAATTATACATAATGAATGTATAGATTACTCCGCAGATATTTACATTCATATTTTAATCATTTTTAAATTTTAAATCCTGAATGTATAGCTACTATACCACGAGATAAATTTCTATAACTGGTATTTCTGAAACCGCTTATATCTATCATATGCTGAAATAATTTATAATATTTGAATGAAATTGGATTACGAAAATATATATATTAGTAAATGATAGAAAAATTATAATTACTTTAAAATCTTCTTGTTTTGGAAATTTCTGTATGCTTTCTGCAAGATACTGATAAGGTTCCCATTGTCCAATGGCTAATGTAGCCATCACCGGTATAACTTGAAAAGAGTATCGTTCATAAAGCCTATAAAAATATATTATTCCAACATCCATTTAATTAGTTTAAGTTTATCTAATGCATGTAATAGATATTATATTTACCATTGTAAAATATCATTTTCTAGATGAGTAAATTCTAAACATAGAAATCTACCTCCAGGTTTAAGTACTCTGTACGCTTCTGATAACACCTAATCAAAATCAATGAGTCTATATTAAATATTTATTAAACTATATCAATCTAAATAAAATTATATTTTAGAAATACAATATCACTATAATAATAATATTACCTTATCGATGTGAGTAACATTTCTTATACCAAATGCTATCGTATATGCTGTAAATGATTCATCAGGGAAGCTAAGATTTTCTGCATCTTCTTTCTTCCATTCAATATTAAAATTATTCTCTTTCGTATATCCTAATCTTTCTGCTCTTATTTTACCAACATCTAACATATTTTCATTTATATCTGTTACCATTACAGAACTTTCAACGTTATTAACGTTCTTAGTATTTTTTAAAAAATCTAAATATCTAAACACTATGTCTCCAGTCCCAGCAGCACAATCTAATAAACGAGTTCCGTGCGTAGGTGCTAATTCTTGAATGAATATATCTTTCCAAATTCGATGAATACCTAAACTCATTAAATCGTTCATTTTGTCATAATTGTCTGCAATACTTTCGAACACTGTATGAACTACAAAAATAAAAATATATATTATTATATATAATTTTCTCATTTCAGAATAAAAAAATATATTTTATTAGATAAATAAAATATAACAATTTATAGTATCCACCTTCTTTAGCTTTATCATTTTCTTTGACTTTTTTAAAACCAAAATATGTCATCCTTTCGTTATCATCTTCATTTGCATCTGTTGCTTTAGAATGATTGTATTTATGAAAATATACATTTGTTAATTGTTTACGTAACGTTTGACACATTCTCTTATTAAAATGAAGATACTTTTGAGTCAACATTTTGATGTTATATAATTGCAATACGAAAAATGAAATTTGACAATTCTTAAATTAACAATGATTAAATATGTTTGCTAAATTCTATTAATATTAAAATAAAATGTTTCAATATTTATAAAAATTTATTGTTAACTTAGATCATTGAAAATCTTCTGTATTAACAAAAGCTATTTTTATCTTTTTCTCTTTTTCCATATAATTAATTAATTTATAAAAATTACAAATGTAAATCAGAAATAAAGAAAAAATTTATTTTTAATAACCCCAGCACGCCAATGATTCAATAACTATAATTGTTATAATTTAAAATATTAATGAACAATGAGTTTACGTATTTAATAAATTTATATATATATCAATTTAAATCATAGATATATATAGATATTATAAATAAATATAAACAGTGCATTAAGCTAGTGAAATTTGTTAATGTATGTGTGTGTAAGATCTATGAATAACTAGTTAATAATATCTAACAGAAGAGGGCGTTGAAAATAGTAGCTACCGGTTCATAAATTTATATATGAATGTGTGTGTGTGTGTTTGTGTATTTACTATGGATATAGTATATTGGGATATTTATTGTTTAACAATTTTTAGTACTATGTTTATTTCAAGTATAAATTCATTATCTTTCTAAGTGATTGCATATTAATTATATATATATTATATTTATTCAGTTTATATACGATCAATAATTTGAATTCAAATGTTGAATGATACTGAATAAATAACTTGTGGTTAAAGTTTTCCTAATAATTCAGGCAAATGAATAAAAATGATTCGATGAGTAGATATGGACCACTCGTCGGTGCAATTGATGAAGGCACCAGTAGCGCTAGATTTTTGGTATAATATGTATTTATTTATGATTATTATTTCTTCTGTATTTATTGATCCATATATACATAATTAGTTATTTGATCAATTTATAAAATCTGTTACAAATATAATAAAATACACATATTTATTAATTATTTCAGTTAGAGTCAATCTTACTTAATATTTTTAACTTCCAGGTATTTGCTGCGGAGACAGCCGAAGTGTTAACGTATCATCAAATTCCAATAAGTCAGACTTATCCGAAGGAAGGATGGGTTGAACAAGATCCCATAGAAATCTTAAACGCAGTGAGAGAATGTCTTCGTCAAACTGTATTTAATTTAGAACAATTAACTATAGATCCGACTGATATTGTTGCTATTGGGATAACTAATCAAAGAGAAACGACTGTTGTATGGGATTCTGTTACGGGAAGACCATTGTATAATGCAATTGGTAATGATTTGTATTTTATTTGTTTAATATAATTATTATTTAATAAATAATTTTCAATGGATTATTTACAGTATGGATGGATATGAGAACTACTTCTATAATAGATGACATGTTAAAAGGGATATGGAATCGGAACAAAAACTATCTGAAGTCACTCTGTGGTTTACCTATTAGCCCTTATTTTAGTGCATTAAAATTAAAATGGTTACTTGAAAATGTACCAGAAGTTCAAGAATCCTTAGCCAAAGATCAATGTATGTTTGGGACAATAGATACCTGGCTAATTTGGGTTAGTTTATTGTTTTTTTCTACAGATGATAATGATGGAGTTTAAAATACTACAATGATAAAAAAAACCTCTACCAAACATAATACTATCTCTGATATAAACCTAGAATTTAACTGGAGGAGTAAATGGTGGTGTTCATACTACAGATGTTACTAATGCTTCGAGGACTATGCTTATGAATATTAGAACATTACAATGGGATCCAAAACTACTATCATTTTTTCAAATACCATCAAGTATTCTGCCACAAATACGAAGTTCGTCAGAAATTTATGGATATATCCAGGATGATATTCTTCATGGTGTACCAATATCTGGAGTATGTAATATATTTCTATTTATACAAACATATAATTAAACGTATTTATAGAATGGATATTATATTTTAGTGTTTAGGAGATCAACAATCAGCACTTGTAGGTCAGTTATGTTTTCAACAAGGACAAGCTAAAAGTACATACGGTACTGGGTGCTTTCTTTTGTACAATACAGGCACTGCTGTAAGATATAATTCTATTATTTATTAGATTATTAAATTATTTCTTTTAATATGCAATTTATCATAATTCATTAATATAATATAACTGAATTAAGCAGGGTATATTCAAGTATTTTTCAATTAATATTTTATTGTTATGCATATAAGATTGTAGATTCATCTCAGGGTTTATTAACCACAGTTGCATATCAATTGGGTGCAAATGCAACACCAGTTTATGCTCTTGAAGGCTCTATAGCAATTGCTGGTGCTGCTATTAAATGGTTAAAAAATAATCTTGGAATATTATCTAACGTAAAGGAAAGTGAAGCTATGGCAGAAAGTCTTTCTTCCGATAGTCATGTCACTTTCGTTCCTGCATTTTCAGGTTTATATGCACCATATTGGAGAAAAGATGCTAGAAGGTAAATAAAAACTATAATTTTCTCTTAAAGAGATTGTTATCATATATATACATTTTAAATATTAAAAAATAAATCATTAATTTTTAGTGTTATATGTGGACTAACAGAGAGATCGACAAATGCCCACATTGTAAAAGCAGCTTTGCAATCCGTATGTTTTCAAATAAGAGATGTTTTAGAAGCCATGAAGAAAGATACAGGAATAATATTATCTAAGTTATTAGTAGATGGTGCCATGACTAGTAATGATTTATTAATGCAAATGCAAGCCGATATATGTGGTACACCAGTGAGTAAGTAACTATTGTATGTAAATAATATTATTTTAAAATATCAATTTTTTTTATATATTATACGAATATATAAAAAAATAAACCTTTTTACAAGAAAGTCAGACCTTTAATGGCTGAAACAACTGCTCTTGGAGCTGCAATAGCTGCAGGTAGTGCCGAAGGTATACGTAAATGGGATATAAAAACAGGATCAATTGTACCGAGTGACATTTTCTTGCCTTCCATAAGTGAAGAAGGTAATTAATATATATATTATATATCAATTAATTAATGTCAGCGTTAAATTGTATAATATTCAGCTAAATCGTGGAAACCCTAAATTTTACCAGAAATAATTTGATATTTTTGCCTAATATACATTAGTAATAACATATATGAGTTTCAAAGGGAAAATTGAAGACAGTTAATAAATTTTGATGAACAAATTTATTTGATCTTGTTGAACGTTTCGTCCCTTACTGGG